CTATTTAGACAATAACGCGCGCTAATGCTCAGGTATGCAAATGAAACTTTTCTACATTTCCATTTTTTGAATTTTTATTTCCATTATTTTTGCGGGATGACCAAGAATTTTTTTTATATAAATAAACGCATAGCATTGTAACAGAACGTCAACGGTTTTTATAGACATACTTACCTGTTGAAACAAAAATAAATTGTTCTTGAATAGTTGTATCAAAGAATAGATACTATAGTTGTAATTGTCTATATTTTAAATATATTTTTTTCTTTGTTCTTTCTTTTCTACCCACGACTGGAAGAGATATATACACAACCAAACATATACGGAATCACTCTTTATTTCTGACTAAATTTCTCACAAGGATAAAAATTGGTATACGACTTTAAGATAAGACTTTTTGTTGTAAATAAACATGATAATAAAGAATAAACGACTGCTGCGATTTATTTTCTTTTGAATTTTGTGTTCAGTAGTAAAATCACGATTGTCCGGTAATTTTCATTCGATCCAAAAAATTATAAAAATACCTTATGTTGGATTAACAGATGTATAGAGGGGAAGAATTATTGCTCTCACCGAACAAGGAATGCTCCAAAGGGACGTAGCAGAGATAGTAGGCGTTACCCAGGGTGTTGTATCGAAAACATATGCAAAGTACTTAGAATTAGGAACATGCAAGGATAGGCCCAGACAAAGTCGCCAGAGTCACAACTGAACAACAAGGCCGCCTTGTGGGCCAAATTGCTGGAATAAATCCCAATGATTCTCATCCAGAGCTACAAAGACAACTACTGGCAGCTACAGGTGTGACCGTTTTAGTTGAAGCCATAACAAAAAGGCTTCGTGCTCGAGGATTTTACAGCAGTAGGAGAGAGTTACGGATTTCACAGTTATCTCGGCAAAAGAAAATTGACCGGCTAAATTGATGCCTTCAACATTAAAACTGGACAACTGAGAATTGGCAAAATATTCTTTTTTCGGATGAGACCAGAATTGGCCTAAGATCAGATAACCATCGAATTCGGGTTCTCAGAGCTCCAGAAAGACGAGCGCGACTTCAGGCTGCCAAATCTGTACCAAGATATAAAGGAGGAACTATAATGTTCTGGGGAGGTATTATACTGGGAGCAAAAACTCCATTGTTACTACCATGTTGACTCGGTGCTCAATCGTTAGTCTTTGGAGAGCTGCAATTGGTTATAATTAAAACTTTTTGTACGATAGTGCACCTCCCCATACCAGCAGAGTGACTAGAGAATGTCTTGAAACGGAAGGTGTCATAGTTTTGGAATGGCCTGTATGTTCACCAGATCTAAACCCTATCGAACACTTGTGGGACTAGCTCAAAAGAAGGGTGAGAGCTCATCGAAACAATCCAGGAAATATCGCATAGCTTATTGATGCAGCATTAGCAGAATGAGAAAACATACCCCAAGACAACGTTGATAATTTAATAAGAAGCATGCCAGCGAGAATAGAAGCCTGCATAAGGGCTAGAGGTGACAACAAGGAATATTAAAATTATCAATTTTCTTTTTATTTTTGCTTTTTGGCCATTAAAAATTTAAATCTTAATTTCGTTCCAGAAACCAAAAAATACCATTTTGTTTATTTTGGGAACTGATTTTTTTTTATTGCTATATGGATTATTTTTCATTAAAAGTCATTGGTAAGGACTGAGTTTTATTCCATAAACACACAATTTTCATACGTTTCAAAAATTATGAAAAATAATAGATGATTCCATATAAGTTTGCTTGTGTGTACTTCAGTTTTAATTCAAAAATAGATGCAGTTTTTGTTAAACTACTTAAAACTGGCTTGTACAAAATTGTTTTAAAGTTGGCATCTGTATTCAGCATACGCAGACATTTAAAAATTATGTGTTCACTATATGTGCACATATTTGAAGTAAAACTTCTTACAAACAGCTATTAAATTGAAGGATTTGAAGGATATATATTTTCTTATGAATTGCTTTTTCAAAAAACTTTCACTTTAAAAAAAAATTGGAGTTAATATAAAACCGTATTCTAGCTGTATAATTTTATGTGTTTTTAATTTTTTATGAAAAAACGATAATTCTATCACTCGGCGGGATAGCCTGCCAGCTGTAGCCATTAAACCAAAATAATATTAACCAACAATTTGTTTTGTATAGTCTGTGGTATGTTTTTGTTTAAATGTTTTGTTCCTTATTCATGTTGGGGATTGATTTTTAAATTAATGTTAATTATTAGGCAACCAGGAATTCTTTTGCCTAATCAAAATTGTCACTCTAAATTTTACATAACCAAATTGTCACTCTAAATCGCTGTATTTTTTAGATAGATGTCACTTGTCTTGTCATTATTCAATTCATTAATCAATCATTAATTTCATTATTCGAATTCTTAGAATGTTGTTAACAAAAGTTTCATCTTAAAATAAAATTTTAATCAATTACAATTATTTATCTCCATCATTTACCGGATTAATAATACAGAAATTATAGTTCAGTTATAAACACAATTCATTATTTATAATGATTTAGTGTAATTTTAATAAATTTTACGAATATTCTCGTTGATTATTGGTTTGAAATAAATATGATACAGTATGAAAATGCTACAAACCTATCGATGAAATTATGCATGAAAATTGACTTCCTAGCACACAATTAAGGTTCGTACAATATCAAGTTTATTATAGTGATTTTCTTCGCCGGGTACCTATGGCACAGATTGTTACACAGTTTTGCCACAAGCTTTATTTTTCATCGGGGTAGATTATGACAAGATAGCGGGGTTAAATTGTTTTACAAAGGGGTAGATCTACCCCCGAATGGGGTATATAGCTGTCGCAACACTGCCGCTATCACTTTTCCTCTGGCGCGTCACGGCCGTCTTGCGGCCGTCTTTCAAGGCCGAGTGTCGCACGGCCTTGAATTTTTACTCCCAACTCGCTTAAAGAAGTTTCGCTTCAAAAGCCTAAAGCCTATAGTTACCACTTCACTGTAAAATTAATAGGGAACCAATATTCGGACAGTTGAAAATTTACATATGGGATTTCCTATATACGAGTATGTTACAAGTATGTTACCAACGACAATGCACCACCCGGTATATTTACTCTTATTTCCATTTCGATAAGGCGGTATCAACATGTAAATTGGATGTCTTCGTAGGTACACACGTATAGCGAGCTTAGATAAAACTGGAACGTGCCAAGTGGCGTTTGCAGTGAACGGCATCCAGGACATTTCTTCCGCTCCTCCTTTTGTCGAACGCGTTTAAATCCAGATTCAATCTGCATCTAGTGTTCGCAAATAGATCGAAATGAGCCGGTAAAACCTATATCGGACGTGTGGACGAACAAGCCGTAACGAACACGGAATTCAATTTGCAAAATTTAAATTTAAATCCTTTTTTCTAGAATTTCCCAATGCATATTAAGTAGTAAAATACTTAATGCTGTAAAAAAGAACAGTGTGTGCACTATGTGCGCATATTTGAAGTGAGACTTCTTATTAACAGCTATTAAATTGAAAGATTTAAAGGACATGTTTGAAAAAGTGACATATGCTGTTTTAATACATAATTTTTCTTCAAATTTTTTTCTGTGTGCTTTGTTCCTACTTTCTCCTGCTCCTCTGTTTCCTCAATAGCCTGCAAGTTTTCTCGAATACCACCCAAAATACTGTCAAGGTGTATGTGGCGCCATTTGTCGGAGAAGCGAGTAACTATAACGGTATTGCTGGTTGCCTACATCTGAAGACATTTTAATGAGGCGCCATCTCTTAATCAAGTCGACAAGTACGCGAATCAAACAATAGAATTTACTGGTAGATGGCAGAAAAGTATCGAAAATTATAGAAGGTTCGAGAAACAGTCAGTAGGGGTATATAAAGGCCCGCGCTTGGCAGTTGGACAGTTTTGAAGTTTGATAATACCGCGTATTAAATTGTGAATTAATTGGCGAAGGTGCCTGAAATTTAGAGTAATAGTAGTTGCATAAATTGTGTATTTATAAATTGTGTGTACAGAGTGACAAAGAAATAAATTCGTTAAGTATTTTATCGTGAGTTTAAATTACTGGACCCACGGAATCTGTAACAATATACACACTTTTATGCAAACGCCCATAGCAAATGCGTAATAATGTTAACGCTTAAATTTATTTAAGGAGAGAAAAAAATTTGAACCTAATCAGCAATTCGTATTTATATAATAATTTACAGTAATTTTGTTAAAGTATACGAATATTATTATTACGTTTATGTTTTCCAATAACTGGAATTTTAAGCTTATATAAACCTTCTCTACTGGAAAACATAAATATGTCCTTATATTTGAAGTGAAACTATATGTGCATAACCATTGCATAACGTATACGAAAAATAAGCCACGATTTTAATATTATTTATTCAATGCGATCAACATGATGCCACAGGCAGTATAGTATAACTACATCAAATACAAAGGCCGAAAGTTCTGATTTTTGCCATACCGAGCGCTTCCATGAGCGCTTCCATCAAAATTTTAAAAATCAACTGTAATGCACCCAGCCTATTGTCACATTTGTCACCTGAGAAATGTAATTTAAACCGCATACATTCTAAATAAATATATAAAAAACATTTTAAATTTGATGACCGATGATGCATTGACGCCCATGAAGATTTATTAGAAGTATACGAGCAGAAATTCATCGGAGTTCTGCGCAGGCTGTGTAAGTAAATTCCTGTTAATGTTATAACACAGGTTATAATATCCAATATCCAGAGATAAACAGTTAAGTCTATATCTCTGGAAGATTTCGAAAGACAACATCAAAAAAAATCAGAATGAGAAAATATTGGAGAAAATCATATAATACTATAATAATAATCTTATATCTTATAAACTTCGATAACATATAAATGTGGACCAAAGTGAAGAGTCATATCCTCCCTATATCCCCATTATAAACCGTCATATTTTAGAGTTGGAGGCAGTTGAGGCCACAATGTTCTTAAGAAGATATATATTCAAATATTTGACGCGGGACGCGGTTAACGTGGTTGTCAAGTTGATAGTTATGAGATAAAATTTAAGAAAAATGTTGTTTCCTTTAGTAATAAATTTCTTTATGGCTGTAATATGCTATATTATAACAGTAAGACTGATACCTCGACTAAAGGACAAGTTTATAAAAGCAAACTTGTTTGGAATCGATATGAGCAAGACGACAAGCGACAAAATGTAAGGTTAACTTTTTTTTATTTCACTAAACATTTTCTCAAAACAACTCTCATTTATAGCCCTGAATCATTAGGTGTAGTAACAGGATGCACCTTTTTAATTACTATGTTCTTATTTATACCAGTTCCTTTTGGAAATAGTCTATTATATAAAGCAAATTTCCCACAAGATGAGGTAAAGTAAACAATGCATTTATTTGTTTATTTGACCAAAAATTATTAGTCATAAGTTAATTTTAACATTTTAGTTTGTAAAATATATAGCAGCTTTACTTTCAATTTGCTGTATGTTGTTTTTGGGATTTGCCGATGATGTATTGGATGTTCCATGGAGACATAAGCTTCTTCTTCCCACAATTGCTTCCTTACCTCTTTTAATGGTTTACTATGTAAGCTTTAACTCAACAACTGTGATAGTGCCTAAACCTTTAAGAGACATGTTTGGTACAAGTGTTGACATAGGACTTTTTTATTATCTATATATGGGAATGCTGGCTGTATTCTGTACAAATGCAATTAATATATTAGGTATGTTGAAATTATCCTCCTTTTTATCTAATTGAATTTTTGAAATTTTAGCTGGCGTAAATGGTTTAGAAGTGGGACAAAGTGTAGTAATAGGTTTATCGATAATAATTTTCAATGTCATTGAATTATTTGGAAATCTCTCAAAGGCTCATCAGTTCAGCTTGTATTTTATGATGCCATATGTGGCAGCGTCACTTGCTTTGCTTAAACACAATTGGTAAGTATAAATAAAAAGGATTAATCTTTTCAAATCAGCAATGGGCGTTTACGTTGGCCGTTTCTTTCTTCCCGATATACATTTTCTATTTTCTTCTGAACAAATTTGCATTTCTATACAAAAGAAAAAATATATTAATAAAATAGCGATAATCTTATCTCTTATAAAACTAGTCTTTGTTAAAGTATTTTGCTGACCCATTCATGATTTCAAAAGAATTCTTAATCTTCTTTTTGAGGCTCTCAGCTAGAGTCAAATAGAGTAGTTCAAATGTATTAAATTGTTACTTTACGCTATTATATATACATCCGTGTTTACGCCTCTATAATTTTGGGAAGAATTATTTTTGCTCAATCTAACCTCACTTTGCGCAGCTGTTTTTGGCGTCTTCAAATTTTGGTTATCCTTTTTTCCTCTTGCGGCTTAAAATAAACTAGGCGTTGGTCGAAAACCGATAATAATGAAATTTGCTAGTCGTATATTATATAGCCGGGAGTTAATTTGGCCTCCTACCTAAAATAACAGAATCTTATATTGGTAGTTACACTCAGAATTTTTATATACAATGTATTTATGTCGATTCAGTCGGAAAAAGTATCTTCTTCTGATATTGGTAGCAGCTCAAGTGGTGTTAATTTTATATTTTTTTCTGTATCGAACAGAAGCAAAAGAGGGATTACATAAAATTTCATTTTTAACTGGTGGTTACATATCAAAAAATAAACGTGCATCGAAAATCCAGTTAGATAACTATATAAACTTAGAAAGAGCTAGTTCAAGGGGCTATTTTTTGGATTTTAATTCCAGTATGTGTTTTACTGAAGGCACTGATATTAAAACAATGATAGTTGCGAAAGGAATCAATTGGAAGTGTAATTGTTTGCCAGGTGATTTTATTTTAAATATTCGAGCAATTATAACAACTATTGCTGTTTATATTAATTTTAGGATGGCATGGCCCAGATTGTGGTCAACCAGAGGTTTTATTTAGAGCAATTCTTGCTAGTAAAAAAGGCTCAAAAATGAAGGGACCTCTTCCATTCCAAAGAAGACTAATATACATATTTAAATTTGACAAATCTAGCAGTACTTTAACAGATATGAGAATTAATTCTTTAGGAGATATCATTGATGTATTTGTTTTGTATAAAGATGATAGTGGGCCTCTTGAAGACGATTTAAAGAATGTTTTCAAGAAATGGCAACACAAAATTGTATATGTTGGCAACAATACTCAGGATAATGTTTGGAAAATTGCTGAATCTCACATCAAGAATCTTCAAAAGAGTGATTATATTATTTTTAATCTGTCAAATGAGGTACCTGATAGGGCGTCATTGATATTTTTGAAATTTTATGAAAATATTCCTGAACCAATACACTTTCGACTTAAGTGGTCTGTTTTTGGATTTTTCTGGACCTACCCAAAGAAAACAATTATATCTGGTGGTGCGTGCACTGTAGCATATTTAGGCGATATATTGAGCAACGATTTATCGATCCTTGTAAACAATAAAACATTAGGTGGAGGAATAACATTGGGTGACTTAAATCATACTGGGGGATGGTTTTGTGAATATTGTGCAACACCGGAAGATATAATGGAATATTTAACAAGCAACACTTCGCACAACCTTATTAACTGGGATAAAATAGGCACCAATAAAATAACACATAAATATATTGAAAGTCTTATAGAAAATGGTTTGTACATTGATGGGAAAACAGAACTTGAAAGGGGCCACAGATATTCTGATACAGATTTTGCACCATCTTACGTGCTTGAGAATGATTTCAAGTTTGACTTTTTATTGATTAATTTTTATTCGCAGAATGAATATTATGTTTAGTATAACTAGTCAATTAAATTATTAGTTTACAGACCTATCAAATAACTTAGTGAAGGATCTGTTATCTGTGATATTATAAGTAATTGTGAAAATAAAAACAAATTGTCCTATTTTATCTTGTTTCAGTGTTATACAATAGTACCTTTATATAATTTATAAGTAATCTACTATATATAAAAATTCATATATAACATTTTTATTTTAGGTATCCCTCTTCTGTGTTTGTAGGAGACACATTTTGTTACTTTTCCGGCATGACATTTGCGGTAGTCGCTATTTTGGGCCGCTTCAACAAAACTGCACTATTATTTTTCATTCCTCAAGTTTTTAACTTTCTCTATTCTGCACCCCAACTATTCAAATTAGTTCCTTGTCCGCGACATAGGTTGCCAAAATTTAATTCAAAAACAGATCGCATGGAATGTAGTCTAGTTGTTTTTAAATATTCAGAAATAAATGTTCTAGGAAAGCTATGCCTTACAATATTTAGAAAATTAAAGTTAATTCAGTGGAAAGAGAAATCTGATACAATCATAACAAACAATTTTACCCTCATAAATCTAGTGTTATTATACACTGGGCCATTACATGAAGCCAAGCTTACAAGTTATTTAATAGCCATACAAGTGGCCTGTTCAGTATTAGCACTTATTATAAGGTATCCGTTTGCTTGGATATTTTATGATGTATAGTACTAGATTTAAAACCAGATATTTATAAGTTGCTAAACCAAAGAAAGTGTAAATATGTCACAAATATAAATTTGTTACAAATAAAGTTTTTTATTGCAATACTTCATAAAATTTAATATTAGTTTATGTTATTAATATTTATTCAAATTAATCTACAGTTTCATTTAAAAAAAAATATAAAAAATTACACATCATATCCAACAATATGGCGTTTTCCAATGCATTCGCCAACATAAAACCAACATAAGACCTACAAATCAAATTAAATTAATCATTAAAATAACCGATGAAATTATGCTGTTGTACCTCTACTGAGACCAAAGTATTAACAAAAGCCTCCTTGACAGTGGTGTTCTTCCACTTTCCACTCTTGGCATCGCTGATTAATCTGCCAATTCCAGCTCTAATTTGTGGAATGTCTGCAGGGGTGGGAGGGGTTAATTCAACTTTAGCATATTTTACGAATACTTCCAATTTCGGTTTTGCCGCTGCTATAGATCCTACAATTTACCCCTTGCATTACATAATTGATCAAGTTATAGCTAAACTCGAATGTATCTTAAGGTTAGACGTTACGTAATATATTTCATATTAAAAAATCATCGTTTCAGTAAATCAATTAACAAATTTACTTACTGTTAATTAGTGTCGGCACCTTGGATATTAATTGGGCCATTTTTTAAAACTGTTTAAAGTATTTTATTATAATTTGACTTTGAAACTCCTTTTTCCTTCTACTTCTGCTTCTGTCTTCGAACTACTATGAAGTGAGCTGCTGGATGCTTCTTCCTTTTCGTTTGCAGGCTCTAAGCTAACATGACTTCTTATTGCATTTATTGGCCATTGCTAGTTGGGCATCTAGTCAACATATCGACGTTAGTTTTAAAATTACCGATCATTGATATATGATCTCTACTCTAGATCATATATTTTTAAGAAATCATGCTCCAGGATTTTTATAAATATTTTTCATTTTTCTAACCTATAAAAATAAAATGACAAGAGTAATTTAGATTATTAAAGATTATTTGTTCATCAAAGAAAGTATACTAATCAAAATTAATATGTCTGAATTAGAATCACTTGAGCCCTCTCTTAAAAATGTTATTGAACAGAATAGCTTAAAATGGATTTTTGTAGGTGGAAAAGGCGGTGTTGGAAAAACGACATGCAGGTAATAATTAAGGAAAGCATAATCGTGTCTGGTACAATGGCTTAATCATTGCAAAATCTTTATAGCTGCAGTTTAGCAGTGCAGCTTTCGAAGGTACGTGAAACCGTTTTGATTATTTCTACTGATCCAGCTCATAACATATCTGATGCTTTTGAGCAAAAGTTCTCTAAAGTACCAACGTTGGTCAAAGGCTTTACAAATTTATATGCAATGGAGATTGATCCCAACGTAGGTGTTAATGAATTGCCTGAAGAGTATTTTGATGGAGAACCAGATGCCATGAAAATGAGCAAAGGTAATCATTATGATGTTTCTATTAATAGATATGTAAATAAACATAGATATCTTGTAGGTATATTACAAGAACTTATAAATGCCTTTCCTGGTAGTGATGAGACAATGTCATACGCTGAAGTGATGAAGCTTATAAAAAGTATGAATTTTTCGGTAGTTGTTTTTGACACAGCTCCAACAGGCCACACTTTAAGACTATTGTCTTTTCCCCAGGTAGTTGAGAAAGGTTTAGGAAAACTATTAAAAATTAAACAAAAAATAGCCCCTATGATAAATCAGTTCAGTGGTCTTTTGGGACTACAGGACTTAAACCCTGAACATTTCTCTTCGAAAATGGACGAACTACTTTCAGTGGTTAAGCAAGTAAATGAACAGTTTAAAAATCCTGATCAAACCACATTTGTTTGTGTATGCATTGCCGAATTCTTATCCCTATATGAAACAGAACGTTTAGTACAAGAACTGACAAAATGCAAAATAGACACACATAATATAATTGTCAATCAACTTATATTTAAAAAGAAAGGCGAAGATGGGTGTCGAATGTGCAATGCACGATTTAAAATTCAGGCTAAATACCTCGATCAGATTGAAGACCTGTATGAAGATTTTCATGTAACCAGATTACCATTGTTGGAAAACGAAGTGAGAGGGATAGAGAAAATAAAAGCTTTTTCAGAGTATTTAATTAAACCATACACTGTATAGAGATAATGTTGCATTTAAGTTTTGAAATCTCTGTTTTAATGTACAACTAACCTTATAAATTTTGAAATTTATATTAATTTGTTTACAAGATGTATATATGGGTATTGTTTTAATAGATTTTCTATCAAAACTAATTTATTATTATTCACTACACCTTTGGGGAAAATATTTTTGTGAAATATAAAAATGGTTATTGGCTACTTCATTTTAGTAATCAGCAGAAATACACTAATCCTGTATATCAAAGAAAAGCATTTTTATTTCACTTAAATTTACAAAAATATAAAATAAATAGAACAATGTTAAGATATCTATAAATTAAAATAAAAATTATTTTACTGTATAATATACTGTGATGGTTTATAGAAATATAATTATAAGACACGAGTGGTATAATCTGGTAATTTCATGTTAGTGACATCTTTTAAGTTTATCCAATCAGGTAAATGTTTCTCTCGTAAGTAAAAATCTTTACTAACTGCCTTCATAGAAAGAAAATCAGTTGCTCCATAAATTGCACCTATAGAAACAAATATTCTTGTTATTGTATATACAATGTTACTGATTTACCTCCTAGCCAAGCTGCATAATTCTCTTTACAAGGTGGGGAATGAAATCTGAATTCTTTGATATTTAATATTTGATATCTCTCATTCAGGAGTTGTTTCTGTAGTTCCTCCTTAAGACGCGCCTTAAAGCCTATAATTTTTTTTGAGTCAAAATTCTAAAGTGTCTATAAATTTTAATTACCTAATGTCATAACAGTTCCACCAATTAAAACGAGATTTTCTGCAAGTTTTTGTCGTAGGTCTATATCCACTTTTAGTATTGCATCAAGTATCATTGTGGACAAACACAAATGATCATTATCCTAAACAAACAAAAGTTACTGTGTATTCAAAACTATTTGTATGAAATTTACCTCTTCATACATTATTTCAAACACCTTTTCTCTAATTTTTCCTGCAACTAAAAGGGTTTCTGCACCGGCATATGGATATTTAACATCTGGAGGTGGTACAATTTCAGATTTTGCTAAATTAAGTTGTTTTGCCCGAGAACTTTTTGTTACAAAGCAACACCTAATTTTAATATCTTCTAAAACAGTTTCCGACAAATTTTGGATTCCCGTATTGCAATTACTCAAAAGATTTTTCAGATTACTAAAATAATCTAATTAGTTTATGATATTATTACTGCTGTAAAAACTAACTAATGGATATATTCTCCGCCTAATGGCAATGCTTGCCATGCTTGAACTATTGGTAATCCATAACAAATTGGAATTGTTACAGCTTCCTTATATCCTACATCAATAACCAAAGCTGTATCAATCGCTAGACTTGCCAAAGCAACCAAATGAGAAGGTAATACCAAAATTGATGAAACTTCATATTGTAAAAACAAAACCTGTGTGAAAAAAAAGGTTGAAATATTTACTTGCCAGCCTTATGATAAATATACTTTAGCAAGCGTCTCTCTAAATAATGTTGGACACAATAAAGATTCTACAATAACAATTGGTCTATCTTTTGGGCTAGTTAAGGCATATTTGAAATATATTGTGTGAATAAATTCAACCAACAAATCATACAGATCTTCAGGGCTATTATAATCACATATTCGCCTTAAACTATTAGTCTTTTTACATCGAACTTCTGATCGAATTATGTACCTCGGGGCGAACTCGCTCGTAAATCCAAACCTAAACACAGCAAATGTTATCCATATTAATCATCAAAATTATCTAACGTGTAAATATTATTTAATTACTTTGTAAAAGCCGTTCCAATATCTAAAACAACTATCAATTTTTCGGTAGATAGCGTCTCGTAAAGAGGCATTTTGTTGATATACTTGACGTATTAATAATTAGTCACAGGTATTAATGAAAATTGTTTTTTTTACTTAGCAATTAAACTCTTCTGGCTCAATCAATGCCGTCTCTAATAGAACAGCCTTGGGGCGAGATTTATGACGTCACGCTAGTTAGATACTACGGATTAATAAATATGTTGTAGAATACATGGAAAACATAATTATTCCTCAGATTTTTGGTTTGTATTTTAAAAATTATATAGTTCACATGAAATATACATAATATACAGTTAATAATTACAAGATATATACCTATTTATAGTAATAAATACTTTGGCAAATAAAACTATGAACCATACAAATGCAGCAAATGTTTTACAATATACAAATAATGTATTACATAAGATATTGGGTAAAATGTAAATATATTTTAAATTTTGGGGTTTGAAAATCGATCTAATTTAACAAAAACATTCAATATCTACTAATAGTGATGTATTATTATTTGCATTCACAAAATTTATATGTATATTTTGCAAGTATCAATGTTCGAAAAATTATATTTACAAATAATACAATATCATCTAAAAAGGCGTCAGCGATGGCTATGAAATGAAGATCGCTGGCATTTTATATGTAAAATTATTCTAAAATTTTTGATTTTCTTGGGATTTTTAGGTTCGGGAAAAACGCTGATTTAAGTTTTCATTTGGGGTTTCATTATTTTTATTTGGTTTAAAAAAAAACGTTTTGGCTAACTATAGCCTTCATCAGTGTTGTGTCATATGAAAAAAATAGTGTCGAATGTAATCCAAAGAATTACATATGAAATATTCACACCACATAATGTTTACTGCAATTAATAAACTAATATAAACTTATCAAAAGATGACCACATATTTTTTAGAATTATTATTCTTAATAGTAAAACTATCTACATTGACTAAGGAGACTATGGAGTATGCAGTAAATATTATGTGGTGCGTGGTGTGAATATTTTATATGTAATTTTTTGGATTATATTCGACACTATTTTTTTCATATGACACAACACTGATGAAGGCTATAATGTTAGCCGAAACTTTTTTTTAAACCAAATAAAAATAATGAAAAACCAAATGAAAACTTAATCAGCGTTTTTCCCGAACTTAAATCCCAAGAAAATCAAAAAATTTAGAATATTTAGAAACAAGGTTCAAGAATATCAAATTTTCCAAGAATGTAAAATTTTAGTTAATTATTTTATGTGTAAAATTATTTAGGGAATGTCATCGATGTTCATTTCCAAGCCAACTAGACTTCGTTTTTTTCGATTATACGGTATAATTATTACATAAAATGTAAATAACATTAGACCAATTAAAACAAAGAAATATGAATTTCTTATTATTTTTAGTAGGTTAGGTTAGGTTAGGTTGCTGGGGTTTGGGATCATATTTGATCCCTCACTCGGAGGCCTTGGGCCCATTGCGATACCCCTGTATTGTTTTACCAAACCTTCCTCTCATTCTTTCTTTGCGTTAAAGCACTTCCAGCTCTTTGCAAAGTTCCCGATGTCGCTGATGTTGGCTTCTGCTGCTTCCTCTAGTCCCTCCAAAAAACCTTGCCCTAAAGTTTTAATGCGTCGGTATTCCAGTGCCGGACAGTGGCACAGCAGGTGCTCTATGGTTTCTTCTTCCTCTCCGCATTCTCTGCAGTAGTCGTCGTCGGAAACTTTCCATCTTACGAGGTTTACCCCCGTGGAACAGTTTCCAGTGACGACACCTACAATTATGCGTACTAGGTCCTTTTTATGCTCTAGTAGCTGTTTTGTCTTTTTGCTATCTACCACTGGCCATAGTCTTCGAGCTGTAGCACAGTCCTCACGGTGTTGCCACGTCTCTTGCTGCTTGGCCTTGATGGCAGTTCCTATAGCCTCCTTCAGTGTGTTGATCGTCAAAAGTGGTGGGTCATCTGCCACGGCCTCTCCCCTGGCCCCGTCTTTGGCGAGTCTGTCTGCTTCCTGATTGCCCACCACATTGCTGTGGCCTGGCACCCAGCACAGAGTAGCCCCACCCCGACGCAGCCAGGACAGTGCTTCTCGGCATTCCATCACAGTTTTCGATCTCACTGATTGCATGGTGATGCTTCTTAATGCGGGCAAGCTGTCAGAGTATATCACTATATCCCCTATTGGTCTATCAGCAATTTTCTCTCGTATACAACTAGCCGCTTCCTTTATGGCGTAAACCTCTGCTTGTAGAACATTACAGCCATCCGATAGCCTCAAAGATCGTCGGATGTCTAGTTTCTCTGAGAAGATGCCCACACCTGTGCCCCCTGAATTTGCGGAAGCATCTGTGTAGACTGCTATCTCTTGAGTGTTCATTACTCGGTTGCTTTCCCATTCTTCTCTTGTCGGAATGCGAATTCTTATCTTTTCTCCAAAATCATGTTTGGTGAGCATATAGTCCGTTTTCTGGTCTAGCAGATGTGGACTCGGTTCACCATGATTTTCCCTATCACTGGCAATATCCTCGAGTGACCGTAGTTGGTCTGGTTCCACAGATTGGATTCCCTTAATCTTAGGGCACCCTTAGCGGCCAGATCCTTTACGAGCCAGTCGATTGATTGCAAGTCCAGAATTGCTTCTAGCGCAGCTTGCGCTGTGTTGTTCCTTGCTCCAGTTGTACCTAGAGCTGCTAATCGCTGTACTTTTGTGAGGCTTTTTCTATTAGTCTCTTTAAGTACCGCTTCCCACCATACTAGTGCTCCATAAGTGATGATTGGTCGAACTATAGCAGTGTACATCCAGTGTATAATGTACGGTTGCAGACCCCATCTCTTTCCAAATAGTTTTTTACATGCATAGAATGCATTTATTCCCTTTATCATCCTTTCCTCCGTGTTCCTTTTCCAGGAAAGCTTCGAGTCCAGAATGATTCCTAAATATTTTGTCTCCTTAGCAAGTACAAGTGTCTTCCCTTCCAGCTTTGGTAGCGTGAACTTGGGTATCTTGTATTTTCTTGTAAACAGAATGAGCTCGGTTTTGTCTGGGTTGATGCCCAAACCATTCCTTTTTGCCCATTCCGTTAACTTCTTCAGAGCAGATTCCATGATGTCACTGATCGTCTGCAAGTCTTTGCCAACGATCAATATTACCACGTCGTCTGCATATGCCTTTATCCTAATTCCCTTCATTGTCAGAGAGGTCAGGATCGGGTTCATTACAATCAGCCACAGCAGAGGTGATAATACCCCTCCTTGTGGCGTGCCTCTTGTTGCACACTTTTTGGCTGAGCTGTTTCCCATCTCCGATGTGATAGTCCTGTTCTCTAGCATTTCTAACACCCAGTTGATGGTTAATTGCTCTACCTTTAGTTCCTCCATGGCTTTTTTGATCGCCTCTGTCTTTACATTATTGAAAGCACCCTCTATGTCTAAGAAAGCCACTAATGTGTATTCCTTATCCCTGAGGGATTTTTCAATTGTACCTACTACCGAATGCAGAGCACTTTCGACTGACTTACCTTTAAGGTATGCGTGTTGCGCAGCACATTGCTTCTCAATATCTGTAGTCTCCTTAATATGTAGATCTATCAGCCTCTCTAGTGTTTTCAGTAGAAACGATGATAGGCTAATAGGTCTGAAGTCCTTGGGTAAAGAGTGGCTTGGTTTACCCGCCTTAGGTATGAAGACCACTTTTACCTCTCTCCACTTCTTTGGAATATGCCCCAAATATAGGCATTCCCGGAAGATCCTGGTTAGTAGGGTATTGATGCTCCTTGGAGCTTTTTGCAGCATGATTGGTGTTATTTCGTCCACTCCTGCCGACTTGTATGGGCTAAATGAACGAATTGCCCATGCTACCCTCTCCTCTGTGATGGTCCTGCTGATCTTCTCCCTCTTCTCTGCTTCGTCCCCTGATCCATTGTCGTCTCTCGGCTCTTGCCGATCGATTTCGTTTGGTTCAGGGTCCTTGCAGCCAGGGAAGTGGGTCTCCATTAGAAGATTGAGGGTCTCGGCGTTGGATTCAGTCCACGAATCGTCTGGTCTCCTGATGTTGCTTGGTACCATCGGTTCTTTGGACAGTACCTTCCTCAGTCTGGCCGCCTCGTTGGTGTCCCTGATGGACTCACTGAATTCCTTTACCGATACCCATTTAGCCTCTCTTATTTTCTTTTTATATTCGTTGAAACACTTTCTATAAACGTCCCAACTTTCTTCCGTTTTCTCCTTTTGTGCTTTATTGTATAGCTTCTTTATTCCTGTCCTAGTCTGCCGTAACTCCGCGTTCCACCACGGTTTGGTGTTTTTACGGGGTCGGCTAACAGGGCATGAATTTTTAAAAGCTCTAATAAGCACTTCTCCTAATTTCTCAACCGTATTGTCTATATAGTCGCGATTCGATTTCTCCGGCATATGGGTTAGTTCCCCTTCGCTAGAATACCTATTCACGAGTTTTTCATATTTACTCCAGTCCGTCTTTCTAGGATTCCTATAGGGTTTAACAAGCGGGACTTCTCGTTTAATCCTAAAGAGTATTCTCCTATGGTCGGAGAAGGATCTCTCCAGATCAACCCTCCAATCCTCGACTATCAAACCCCGTCCCTCCGTGGTCAAGGTTAGATCTAAAACTTCCTGCCTAATTTTATTTGCAAACGTTGGCACGTTGCCTCTGTTGCATATAGTAAGGTTATTAGAAAGTATAAAATCCATTATTGACTCACCTCTTTCATTGATATCCTTGCTTCCCCATTGGACGTGATGGCCGTTGGCGTCACATCCTATCACCAGCTGTTGGCCCATTCTTCTGGCTTCTCGAACCAGATTTCGGACCGCTTCCGGCGGGGGATTCTCTTCGTCGTATGGCATGTATGCTGAGACCAGTAGAAGTTTGAACCCCTTTTGGTCCTCGCACGTGGCCACGCTCAGATCGTTTGTGCTGTAATGGGATAGCAATGTAAGCTTTAGTGCTCTTCTTGCTACTATACACGCTCTCTTTTTACCTGTAATCTGTGGGTGAAGTAGAATGTATTCTTTTGACCTCAGTCCCTGGATTTTGTCTCTTGCGATCCATGGTTCCTGGACTAAGGCCACGTCCACCTTCTTTTCACTCATGAACAGCATCAAATCCTCCGTCGCGGCCTCACAGTGGTTCAGATTAATCTGAACCACCCGCAGCCCTGGTTGACTTGGTGCCATTCTTGTCGTTAGGAAGCCTCGCCTTTAGAGCCCCGAGACCAAATTTGATGCTTCCTTCCGATTTCCTCAAGCGATCTAGTGATGCCTCGTCAATGGCGATCACTATATCCCTTCCTTTTCCGTTTGGACTGGCGACTGATGAGACTACCCTCCAGTCCTGTGTCCATAGGTTCTTATTTTGTCTCGCCAAGATCTTCATCGTTGTCTCATCCTTCTCCGGTACTGGAGGAGGGATCCATAATGAGATCGTTTTTCTTAGGGGCAGTTGCGATCTGGGAATGACCTCTAGTCGGGCTCCTGGCCAGATGTCGTTGCAGTTGCGGATTACTTGCGTTAGGAAGTCTCGCGACAACCTGTTGCTGCAACCCACAACTTTGACACCTTTCTGCCATCCAGCCCCGTCGAAGATCACTTCCTCGTCGCTGCCTCCCTCCTTTTCGGCGATAGCCATCAGGATCCTCGACTCAACCGCCATCCACCTTTCGGGCGTCATTTTGCCATCTAGATCAGCTCGATCAATGACAGCGACCTGACATTCGTCCGGCGAATCGAAGCTAGTCGAGGGTTTAGCCCTTTTTGCTACGTTTCCTTCTCCCTCGCCAGACCGACCCCTTTTAACCGGTATCTTTTCAGATTTTGGTTTTTTGGGGTCTGCTGACTTTGGAGATTCCACAATAGCGTCGGACCTCTGAAGCCTTCTCACCGATTTGGAGGACGGCTTCTCCCCTTCCTCAGGAATCACCTCCATTTTCTTTGACTGTTGGTCAGCCTCGAATTTGGAGATTTTTCTCTCGTTGAGCTTGATGAGGTTTCTTTCCCGTTCGGTCAAGTCTTCCTTCTTCTTCAAGCTCATCTTTTTCAAAAAAGTCTGAGCGTTCCGGTAGACTTTTTTGGCCTTTTGGAACGCCGTTAGACTTTTCCTCTTGATGCTTTTCCCTTGGCCTGCGTCGGCTTCCGGATTGAGCAGCCCCTCCTCGGAGTCGGAGTCTATGGAGAGATCATCATCGGTTGTCCCTCCGATCTCCATATTCTCCAGTCGAGAGGAGATACTCCCGGCGCCTTTGCTGCCTTGGGTAGCATTCTCCTGTGCACTTGTGGCTTGGGAAGATCCAGCAGCCAAGTGTACCACTGCTGGATCACTGTCGTCGTGTGAAAATGAGCCCCCCCCAGAATCCGAATGGGGCTCGGCCACCTCAGTGGAGGTGGGAGGATTTCCCAAAGTTGGGCTACCTCCTGGGGTAAAATGTTCCTTTTCACACCCTTCCATATCGCCGGTTTGGTTGAGATGTTGTTGCACTCAGCTGCTCGAGTTCGGATCGCATGCCGCGAGCTCGATGATGATGCAGTATGAGCTCTATTACCCAGCAGGCCATCTCTCCTACCCGCTGGGCACCATTGCTGCCGTTAGCCTACTGAGACGCGTCTATGTGCAATGACGCCATTCAGCGTTTCCCATTCCACGCGAACGAGGACGCCGGCAGTTGGAATTTGTGGAACTATTATTTTTAGTAACACCTTTATCATTAAAACTTAATTTTGTATTGCAAATATACCAATTTATTGACTATACAACACTATTCATTAAAAATTACCGAACAAAAATATGTTATGCCTTACATACATTATATTATCAAACAAAAACACATTCTTCTTTTAAACTTTATCATTCTTGTCTTTACAAAAATCTTTTTTAATTTTGAACTCAAAATAATAATCTTTTTCATGATCTTTAATACACATATTCTTTATTTTTCCCTAGATCATAATACCTACTTACGTGTTTATCTTACGTGTTTGAATCTATCGAAGCTGAACCAACAACACTTGGAGTGGAGATTCCACAATATGAATAAAATAAACATAATTGTCCAGCTTTCTTTAATACCATCCTGGGAGAATATTATTTTTAAATTTATTAAAGATATTTTCAATAGAATTGTCTTATATACATCTTACATACATTATATTATCAAACAAAAACACATTCTTCTTTTAAACTTTATCATTCTTGTCTTTACAAAAATCTTTTTTAATTTTGAACTCAAAATAATAATCTTTTTCATGATCTTTAATACACATATTCTTTATTTTTCCCTAGATCATAATACCTACTTACGTGTTTATCTTACGTGTTTGAATCTATCGAAGCTGAACCAACAACACTTGGAGTGGAGATTCCACAATATGAATAAAATAAACATAATTGTCCAGTTTTCTTTAATACCATTCTGGGAGAATATTATTTTTAAATTTATTAAAGATATTTTCAATAGAATTGTCTTATATCGAATATATTGTTATTATATATAAATCGTACCCACTTTTCTTGCTCTTCCGGATACTTTAAGCTGCCTAGTATAACTATCCTTTCCACCAGGAACACAATAAAGATGAGGCATAGCACCAAAAACACACTCCACTTAAGCTTTATTAATGAATTGTTTAGTCTTAAAAAACGCACACAAAAATCACGATAAATAAAAAATTTATGGGCACTTTTAGGTTAAAGCACTTAACAAAACGTGTAATATTTCGTGTTTTTTTTATGAGAAACAGATTGACCATCATAGTAACCATATATCTGGTAGTACTTTATGTCACTTAAACACCAAAATAATTAGTTTTTTGCACTACAATAATAAATAATACCAAAAATCAACCGACAAAATATGAATACAGAATCTAACCCTATATCTAAGTATGTACAGCTGATGAAGTAAACAAAAGTCCGCCCGTAGGCTGATCTTTTATAGAGGGCATTGGCTCAATATATTAAAATCCGTAATTTAACTACTCAAAAAATCTCTACAAAAAATACCATAAAAAATATCAAACAAATTAATGACAGATGAGATTTGGACTGGATCATATACTTTTGGAAAAAAAGTATATGATCTGGAATAGAGTTCTCTTTCTAGATGGTTCGACCTTGGGTTCGACCCACGTTCGACCCTTGGATTCGACCATGACTGTCGGATCGGGTACAAAGATCGGAATCACCTGTCTTATTTAGGGCCGGAACCAGTAATAGACAGGATAGTGCTAGCAGCTTAGGTCTTTAAATTAATTAAAGAAAAAGAAGAAGTGTCACAATCAACTGAAATGTTGTTATTAAAATTATCTAATTGAACTTTTTATTTCCTTATTATTTTTATTTTCCGTTTTATTAAATAATGAAGCATAATTTTTCGATTACATAAATTATAAAATTAGGTGTCCTATATTATCTACTAGCAATATTTGGGTGTTAACAACAGTTTTCATTATTAGTTTTACTGTGCATATCTTATTTTTTTGATAAGCTTGTAGAATGTAAAACGTAATTTGAAAAACAAAACGTGCCTAGGCAAGCAGATTTTTATCAGCTCTAAAAATGCATTAATAATCGTAGTTCACACCATAGTTCATAAATAGGGTAAATTTTGCTGTGATCTGTGATGTCAGTTACTTCCCATAATGGTAATTATATTTTATTACTAATTTTACACATATATTAGAACAATAGAACAATACATATTAGATATTATGGTATATTGCATTATTTATCAGGTTATGAACCAATCGACAATACATCTCAAGACATATATAATGAAGAGACACAAGAAGTATTTTGCCATATTAAAGCATTTAAAAAAACTAAGATAAGACTCATATTTTTTCATATATTTAGTCTAATATTATGTGGTATACCCTATTTGATTTTTAAGGCTTATCCAAGTGTGAAAAGCAGAGTTAAGTATAAAAAATGTTGTATAGAACATGCAGATATTTTTTTAGGTAAGTAAAATGTTTTTTGTCTGCAGATTAATTGTTATTAAATTTATTTACTTTTTGCTTCAGTGAGAGATAATCATAATAATCACAGTTTACACAGGGTGTTTTCTGTAAATATTAATTTAGACCAGCTAGGAATAACAGGTGAACAGAAGTATTTTTTCCATCAGCATACAAAATATGTTTGGATCTCTGAAAGGCAATCATTTAGTACATATGATCAGTTAATATGGAAGAATATAACGTGTAATGATTTATGTACTAATAGAAGTGGATTGACCGAACAACATTATAATGAATTGTAAGTTTAACTGTAGATGTATTGCCTGAACATCATTGTAATGAATTATAAGTTTTTCTTTGGTTTAATTTAAGATTAATTGTTTTTTTCTATTATAGGTTTACTTTATTTGGACCAAATTCTATAGAAATCGAAGTGAAATCTTATTGGAGATTATTCATAGAGGAAATATTGAACCCTTTTTATTTTTTTCAGGCATTCTCTATTATTTTATGGTGCATCGATGATTACTTTATATATGCAGGTTGTGTAATCTTCTTAACATTTTTTTCTATCGTAACATCCCTTTTACAGACTCAGAAAGTAAGTAAAAAAGATTGATTGAGGTTTTTTAATATTTATAAAGTATTTTATAATTTAGCAAAGTCAGAATTTACATGATATAGTTGAATCATCTAAATGTCATGAGGTGGCTGTTCTGAGGGAGTTTGGAAATGAGACATGTTTGAAAATAGAGCCTGATGATGTAGTACCAGGGGACATTATTGTTTTACCTGCTGGAGATTATGTAATGCCTTGTGATGCCGTTTTAATTACTGGCCAGTGCATTGTAAATGAAAGTGTACTAACAGGTATATATTTTTTTAATAAACCTAATGAAAGATTATGAAAATTTTATATTTTTTATTTAGGCGAGAGTGTTCCAGTGACAAAGTCAGCTTTACCACCTGATTCAGATGAATTTAACATCAACATACACAAAAGACATGTATTATTTTCTGGCACTCACGTGCTCCAAACCAGGTAAAGTACTAAAGACTAGTTGAAGCCTGGGGGATCCGCCACGACATCAGGAAAAAAAATACTTTTTATTTTTTTTTAATGAAAAACAAAAAATCCAGCTACGACAGTTTTTAGAAGTGCCAATTAGCTATCTTTTAGTTAAAAAAAAACAACTTTTTAGAGCAAGTCATTACTTCAGTAGAGACAACACAGATAAACATTAGCATTTTATATATAATATGTAAATTGTGAAGAAAATGGACGTCAAGTTATTTAGAATTGAAGATAGCTTATATTTGTTGTGCAAATTTATTTAATGAATATTACTAAACTAACGCCGTTTTTTTTCTATCATTATATTTCAATCATCAACATTATATTTTATGTTAATATAAAGTTTTTTTTAACTATTATTTAAACATTAAGATTTAAAATCAATTAACTTATCATTGGTATTTATATTTTTTAACCAATGTTTGTCATACATTGGCGTCAGATTTATTCTCTACTTTTTACATTTGATAAAAATATAACTAAAGCTAAACTACATTTGTAAACACATTTCAATAATAAAAAAGATGTAGGTGGTATTGCTTTTTGCTTTCTTGATAAATGTGGGAATTACTCATAGTAAATAATACTTTATGGTCATGAATTGCTGATAAAATTACAATAATTTACTTTTACAAAGGTTTTACATGAGATTATTTTTGTAATGTTTATTTATTTGAAAATATTTTACTGGTACATTATTCAGACATGAGACACAAAAGCTGAATAATGATAAATTCATTGTGATAAAAAAAAACAAACAAGTTGGCTTGGAAATGACAATCAATACATTCGCCATAATTTTACATAAAAAGTGACAGCAATCTTCATTTCCAAGCCAACTTTAATGACTTTTTTTTCGGTCTTATGCTTTGAACTTATGATACTCTTTATACAGGGCGAGTCTCAAATAAGTGCAAATATTTTTAGGGGTGTATATTTCGACCCAGAAACACGATTATGAGGTTTTTTTGCCAATTTTTTTTTGAAATTGGAATTTTTTGAAAAAAATTTGGATTTTTTTTGGATTTTGAGTTAAAAAACATAATTTGTTTATAATAGGGCAAAAGAGGTACTAGATTAAATTTACAAGAAAGAAAATCCAGAAAATATCCAGTGGTTTTTCAATCAAAATTTTAGAAAAAAATATTTTTTATTTGGAAATTTTCAAAGTAAAATAACTCAGTTAGGTATTTTGGATTTATTTGAAAAACGGTAAAGAGAAAATATGTTTCTTTTATCGAGATCTACCAGCCGTTAAAATATTTGCATTTATTTAAGACTCATATCCTGTATACAGGGTGTTTCAAAAAATATGTGTCATCTCTCGTGGGGAGATTTCGCAAGTAAAAATAAGATTTATTTTTCATATCCACATAGGTCCGATTCTGCTTTGTTTCGTAGCTACAGGGTGTTACAGTCTTAATAATCTTTCGATATAATTTTCTTCCAAGTACTTTAAGTGATTCAAATGAAATTTTGAGGGTAAAAGTGATACATATTTTAAAGCTAAAAAAGTGTCGAAATATTACCAGGGACGTGCATATGGTTTATGACTGGAATATTTTCTTAAAAAAAGCACGTACGCCACTGACTTGTTTTTCTCTTATTAGCGAAATAGCGTAAGCAGTTTAATGCCAATTAAAAGTTGTCTCTTGATATTTTGCTGATTTCGGCGTCCTTGATGAGATAAACGCAATTTTATTAATTTGCCTTGATCCAAGTCTAATAGCAACCTTTAAAAATATATAATAGCAACCGTTAAAAAAATGTAATATCATTAACTTTTGCGAAAGTTTTAAATAAGTACTCATTGATTCCTCATCAAAAAATATGAAAAAAAGTTCCTATAGACATGGGTATGGAAATGCATAGTTTTAGAGTTACAGGATGTTAAAACTTTTAAAAATTAGGTTTTTTGTAATTATCTTAAATACCATTATTTTTTTTTTGGAGAGTTGAATCCGCCATATACATATGTAATGCCGCAACCGCACATGCGGCATTTAGCGATCTTCGATCGGGGCTTCGCCGATTTCCTATGTGTGTGGATGAGGAAGTCGGAGTTCGGCGACTCGATCGGTGACGAGAAATGAAAGAAATGTTGTTGCTATCAGAGCCCGCATGTGTGGATGGAAAGGCGAAGTCCGATCACGAGCGCTCGGTATTTGACGAGCGCTCGGAGTTCGCTAATTGTCGCATGCATGTGCAGTTGCGGCATAATATAGACATTTTTTATTATTTCTTTTTTATTTAAAATTGCTGTATATTGGACTAATAGTAATAATAACTAATAGTTTTAATATTAATAGTAATATTTAATAATGAATTAGGTAAAATATATAATTTATTAATTTTATTTTAATTTAAATTTTATTAATTGTGATTAATAAAATTGCGTTTATCGTTTATCTCATCAAGGAGGCCGAATTCGATAAAATATCAAGAGATAATTTTAATTGGCATTAAACGGCCTACACGATTTTGATATCAAAAGAAAGAAAGTCAGTGGCGTACATGTTTTTTTAAATATTCCAGTGATAACCCATATGCACGTCCCTGATGAATTTATTGACACATTTTTAGCATTAAAATATATAGCAACTTTCACCTTCAAAATGTTATTCAAATCACTAAAAGTACTTGGAAGAAAATTATAATAAATCGAAAGACTTTAACACCCTGTAGCTATGAAACAAAGCAGAATCGGACCTATGTTGATATGAAAAATAAGTCTCATTTTTACGAGAGGAACCTCCCCACGAGGGAGGGTACATGTTTTTTGAAACACCCTCTATATGTATAGAGAATTAATGTGCAGAAAATTTTGTTTAGAAATGTACATTTTTCAAAAAGCACTTTTTAAACACTGAGTCATGCTGAATTTTTTTAAAACGATATTTTATTTGATAATATCTAATTACAAATTTTTTTTTTTTTAGATATTACGGAGGTGAAAACGTCTTGGCCAAAGTAGTTCGTACGGGATTTGATACCACCAAAGGGCATCTGGTTAAAAGCATACTGTATCCCGCCCCGATCAACCTTCAGTTTTACGCTGACGCCCTCAAATTTGTCTACTTGCTCTTTACCATCGCCGTGAGCGGAATGGCTTACTGCCTGTATCTCTACCTCCAACGCCACGCAACTGTAGTAGAAATAGCCGTAAGAGTTCTGGATATCATCACCATAGTCGTTCCACCGGCCCTACCCGCCGCCATGACAGTCGGAACAGTCTACAGTCAAACGCGTCTGAAGAAACTGAAGATCTTTTGCATCAGTCCGCCCAGGATTAACGTGTGCGGTAAGATCAAGCTGGCCTGTTTTGATAAAACGGGAACTTTGACTCACGACGGACTAGACATGCACTCTGTGATGCCCTGTGCTGAATCGAAATTTGGAGAACCAGTTAATAATGTAGGACATTTGGGGAATAGCTATGACGTTTTGGTGAGAGGTATGGCAACGTGTCATTCTCTTACAAGAATAGGTGGGAGTTTGACAGGGGATCCCTTGGATCTCAACATGTTCGAATTTACAAAGTGGGTAAGGATAAATTGGATATGGAGTATGTCCCCGGATTATCTTTACAAGATGAAAAACTTTCTTATTATTGACATTTTGAGAAAAATGCGTTCTTCATAAAAAAATTTGCTTGTTCTAAAATGGTTAATCGTGTTTATACTTTTCCAAACTTCCATTCCGTTTTAGAGAAAATTAAAAAAAAAACCTGAAAATATAGTTGAATTTTCTAAAAAGTCCTAAAAATCAAAATGTTTGGTAATATCATTTAGATTTTATTCTTTGATAGATGGTTATTATTAACTAGTTGAAGCCTGGCGCATCCGCGCCACGATATCAGGAAAAAAATACTTTCTATTTTTTTTAATTAAATGAAAAACAAAAAATCCGGCGGCGACAGTTTTTAGAAGAGCCAATTAGCTATCTGTTAAAGTAAAAAAAGCAACTTCCTAGAGCAAGTCGTTACTTCAGTAGAGACGACACAGATAAACATTAACATTTTATATACATATATATGTATATACAGGGTGGTCCGAACTGTATTCCGGAAACTTCGGCAGCATATTCTGCAGATAAAAATATGTAAAAAAGTTCGTATAAATGTATGCTCTAGAATGCTTAGTTTCGGTGATACAGGGTGTAGAAGTTTCATTTTTATTTCGATTTTTTCCAAATAATTTCTGAAGTAACATCAATATTTGGATGAAATTTGGTGTCTGGGAGTTTTTTGATATGAGAAATTCGATTTTGTTGTCAATATGACTCCTACTTGTAGAGGGTGCCACCTACATATTTTTAACTGGTTTGAAGAGTAATAACTTTTCGTCCGTACCTGTATAAAACTACTAAGGAAAAAAATATACATTTACGACGTTTTTAACGTAAAAAAGATCTCTTAATAAAAATCTCTACGAGTAATAGTTCTCGAGATATTTGAAATCAAAATTATCAATATCTAAATATAATAATAATCATTGACATAAATTAAACATGCATGTTGACTAAATAGTTTAATACACGGAAATCATAAATTTGAAATGTTTTTGTGCCAAACCATCATCAATTATCATGTTTTCGAAGAAAATTTTATGATTAATTTAAAAAAATAAACATTTTCCAAATTTATCTTTTTAGTCAAATAACTATCTACTCTCACCATGTTTATATTTTATCAATAATGACATGTATTGACTATTTCCATTCTCAATATCTGGAATAGAGTTGCTTGTAACGATTTTTACCAAGAGACATTTTTTACGTAAAAAAATACGAAAATGTAAATATATTTTTTCACTCGGCAGTTCTATACAGGTACGGACAAAAAGTGATTACTCTTACAGTTAAAATACATGTAGGTGGCGCCCTCTACAAATAGGGGTCATAGTGACATCAAAATCAAATTTCTAATGTCAAAAAACTAATAGATACCAATTTTCATCCAAATATTGACGTTACTTCAGAAATTATTTGGAAAAAATGGAAATAAAAATGAAATTTCTACACCCTGTATCTCCGAAACTAAGCATTTTAGGACATACATTTATAAAAAGTTTTTTACTTCTTTTTATCTGCAGAATATGTTCCCGAAGTTTCCGGAATACAATTCAGACCACCCTGTAAATAGATTTCAATATTTCCATTAATGACATATGTTTTACTGTTGTCAAATTATCAAATTTTCGATTAATTCTTATTACCCTTTCCGGAGAAATGAACTAAATAAATTTTGTACTTCTTTAACATTTTAAAACAGCAAAAAATATGACGTTAATTAAAATTCTAATAATAACAATATGTGAAAGAACGAAACATAAGATAAATGAAATAAGTTAGATTGGAAAGTGCCCATAATGACAATGTAAGTATTATTTGGCGCTATTCTTGCAAAGGTCGAGACCCAAAGTTTTTGATAATTATGGGGCGATTCGGCTTTTTCCGGAATTATGTCCCCAAATATATTCTTTATTCAAATTTTATTTTAATTTTATAAATAAAACACAGTGTGTTGCATGTAAGAAACTTTATTTTATATAAGGACATAAGTATAAAATACCTATGGAACATTGGAAACCGACGTTATGCCACGATGGTTTTTTAAGTTCACAGTTCACACAGCTTAAGTGTTTTTAATGCCACTTTTTCACAATTATCAGGGTAAATAAAATTTAAATTAAACTTACAAGATACCAATAATTGCTTTGAAAATGGACGCTTTAAACACTTTTCGGTATTTTTTCAATGCGGGCCGTTTGTTTTTTTAAAGATTTTATAATTTTAGAAGATTCTGACTTTGACAAGAGAAAATTCTTTCTGTTCTTGTTTTCGGCTGTTCTTAGCAACCGCTATAGCAGCGCCTAATCCCGTACAATGTATGCGACCCAAAACAATTATACGTTTTAGCGGGAAACCCAGCATTCCAATCCATAATGAAATGAAATCGAAATGATATTACCATTTTTTGATTAGGACTTTTAGGACTAAAATTCAATTATGTTTTTATGTTTTTTTTTTCTAAATTTTTCAAATGGAAATTTGGAAAATTTCAAACGGGATTAACCATTTTAGAACAAGTAAAAGTTTTTATGAACAATGCATTTTTCCATGAAATGTCAATAATAAAAAGATTTTCCTCTTGTAAAGAAAATCCGGAGACATACTGTAGAAAGACAATATACGATTTTCACTTTTAACTTTGACACAGTTAAGTATTTAATTTTATAACAAAATAACTACAATTCACTTCTTAAGTAGTATATAATAATTAGGATAAAAATACCGAAATGACAATTACTAAGTTCCAATCATATACAATATCTTTTTATTCAAAGCATCCAATTGGCATTTAGCACATTATTTACATCACGTCTTCATTTGTTGGAGTATTTAATAATTTTAAAAGAGTTAAATTTTAGAATTTGGAAGAACCTGGGAATGATGAAAATGCACGTTTTGACATGTTAGCCCCAACAGTCGTTAGTGCGCCAAGGTCTGAAACGGGTGGTAAATTAAAGTTGACTCACGAGGACAATAATGTTAATAGGGACGAGGTAAGTTGTTATACTGCCAGTAATAATTCAGATTAATATGAAATCTAACATACCCAGTAGGTAGTAATTTTGAGTACAATATGTACAGTACGTCTGTTCGTTCTGTAGCTACGGGGTATCCGTGAGAGGGGAAACGATATTCTCTCGATGTTTTTCGTAAAAAAATAGACGACGCGTCCCATCACTCGTTACGGCACGTACTCGTTAAGTCGACGTATAAAATAAATTGCTGTTTATTTAAATATTTTTTGTCCGCATTCCTTTCATAGACACAGATCAGACGTACTGTATTGTTAGTTATTTAGTTTGTTTTTATTATTTTAGTGTACCTATGAGGTTGGTATAATTAAAGAATTCCCATTTTCTTCCACCGCTCAATGTATGTCAGTTATCTGTAAAGACCTAGAGTGTCCAACCATGTTTGCTTACACTAAAGGAGCGCCTGAAAAACTAGCATCACTTTGCAAGTCGTCAACTCTGCCATCGAATTTTCAAGAAAAACTTAGTTATTACACTGCCAACGGTTTCAGAGTGATTGCCGTAGCGTTTAAGAATCTACCGAAAAGTTTCAAATGGAGAGAGGCTCAAAAAGTTAAAAGAAATCAGGTAAGACAGAAAACTGAATAATATAATACAGTTTTATCCTACTCTGATTTGTTTGTCATTTAAAATCTTAGCCAATAAGTTTATCTCATTGAATATGTAACAACAGAATATACTAACACCACCTATAGGATTAAGCCAAAGTTTTTAGATATGACGTCGTTACTAGTGGGTATACACTGTCGGCAAGGTCTGGCCTTGGGTGCTTATTTTCGTGTGTACGAAGAGTACACTCAATACAGTAAGATGTATTGAACAAAGAGGGGTTATGTCTATGTTGGATGTCTGAAATAATTAGACATATGGCGATTTGTCCATATTAAACTTGCCAGATGCGTGCAACTTCGTGGTTATAAATAGTCTTTATATAACTTCTTTGCAGAGGGGGTTAATCTTTTTTTTGGTAGAATATAACAACAAAAGATTAACACCCTCCGCATAGAAGTTGAAACTTTGCCAAAATTATCATTGATTGTCATTCTCCAGCCATCTTTGACGCCGGTTTTTTTTCGATCTTATGGTACAATTTAATATATAATTAAATTTTAATAAATGACATTAAATAACCTATAGCGTTGGCGGGACAGTAATTATTATCGATCGATAATTTATAGTCTACTCTGACGCCATTTTTTCGATTGTATGGTCTATGTAATATGTTATCTAATTTTACTTTGTATTTTTTGGGTTATAATAATATTTACTTACAAAAACCTTAGGGGGTACTGATTTTTATTGACAAGCATTTCAAAAAAGATAGAGATAGGTAATAATCTGAATTGGTATGTTGTAACACGTAAAAATATTCTTAGATTGAGTGCGATTTGGAATTTTTGGGACTTCTTATTATGCAAAACCCTTTAAAAGATGAAACTGAACCTGTCATACAAGACCTACACCGAGCTCATATACCGACTGTAATGATTACAGGTTAGTCTGTAAAATGTTATTTTTTTTATTCCCTTCAAAATACATTCAGATGCAAAAAAAACGCAACGGAGAAAATTTTAGTCATATTTAAACTGTTATATTTTTGTTATTTTTAGCCCTATTTTCAACAATTTTTTAGCAAGCTGTATCTAATTATATCAACTTTAATTTTGTAAACTCAGTTTTTTGTAAACTTTAGTATTTGGCATATTATACAGGGTTAATCGAGGTTTTTTTTGCATCTGAGTATTTATATTTTTATTTAGGTTCACAATATAGTACATCCTTTTTTAGGTGATAATATAATGACTGCTATTTCTGTAGCTAGAGACTGTGGCATGGTAGGCGCGTCGGACGATATATACATTGTTTCTGTCATTGACGATTTAGATAATGAACCACCCAAGTTAAGTCTCCAGAAAGCTGGCAGTGGTTCTTCTAGAGACTACACTATTATTGACTTTAATCATTCTGTATAAATGTTTATATTTTGCTTTCATTTAAACTTTGTTTACTATATTATTTTTAGAGTTTTTACTGTGCCATAGATGGTAAAACATGGATAAAGTTAAAGAGTCACTTTCAAGACCTTTTACCAGGTTTTCTAGTAAGAACTAAAGTATTTGCTAGGTTTCAGCCTGATCAGAAGACGCAAGTAGTGACTGCTTTACAGGAATTAGATTATGTAGTAGCTATGGTGGGGGATGGTGCCAACGATTGTGGGGTTTGTACTGATTTATAGAATTTAGAAGAGAAAATTTGATAATCAAAAGAATTCTGTCTTTTGAACTATTATTACTGCTTGAAACATTTCTTCAAAATATTTTTTGAGTATTTCATAGATTTTATCCAAAAATAACATTTTCATACGAATTAAATCTGTCATGGGTCAAACATGGGATCGATTTTGCTTTGTTGGGTAGCTACAGGAAGTAAAGTCCTTATTTTTAAGTGCTTTTAGCGACTTGAATGAAATTTGACGGGTAAAAGTTACTACAACAGAGAGGGCCTTCTGTATACAAAAAGAACCAATGCCTTGCACTTAGCCGTTGCCGATGATTTAGTTATCTTAGCAAGAGATTGGAAAGAGCTGATATAAAAAAATTAGGACTGTCTCTAAATTATGAATATAAAAATAGTATTAGGCTCCTTCTACAGCCTTTTTGTTTAATGTGCGCACGTTATGTTGTGGCTAAGTTAGCCAGGTTGGTTATTCAGACTAATTATGATTTAACTAAATAAAAACTAAACAGAAACGTATTTAAAGCCTTTATGAACAATAAAATAATCCAAATGTTAAGGTAAGTCAGTTATTGCTTATTTTTAGGCTCTTAAAGCTGCTCACGTAGGTGTATCGCTATCGCCGGAAGAAGCTAGCGTAGCCGCTCCATTTACCTCAGGTATACCAAATATTTCGTGCCTTACAAGACTGATCTCAGAAGGAAGGTGTTCACTAGTAACTAGTTTTGCTCTGTTTAAATACATGGCTCTCTACAGTTTGATTCAGTTTTTTACTGTGTTAATTTTATATAAGGTTTGTAGTGCTTTTCTTTTGGACCTTTTAAATGGCCAAACTTAAAAACCGTAGCTAACATAATAAACAACTGAATAGAATACAATAATTGCAGTTATATAAATGTTCGCATTGTTTTGTGCTATTCTGTTGTATCCCTAAAACCTTATAAATGACACACTGCGTACTGAACTCATAATAATTAATTTTTAGTGCCATTCCATTCTTGGTGATTTCCAGTTCCTCTATATTGATTTGATTATAACGACGTTTTTAGCAATTTCTATGGGAAGGCAAGGTGAGTTTCATATATTGACAAATTATGTTTTTTTTAATTTTACAGTTATTACTATATTCTTAAAATTCTTATATCAAATTATTCCTTTAAGACCTGTTACGGTGTTTAAATTAATATGCCTGTAATTTATCTTCGAAAAAGAAGTTTAGCAGATGTAAAAAGTGAAGTAGTGGACTAAAAATATTCTATCTTAAAACACTGTTATTTCCCTCATATTTTATGTAAAAAAACGTGGAGAAAAATATATTTGTTTCTAGACAAAGTTTTATCTTTGCGGACCAATTTTGGTACTGTCTCAAAGTTGCCCTACGAATTGTTGCCTGAATATCATTTTGTACTAAAGTTTTTGCCGACGTTGCTAGCTCTCGTACTATTACAAAAGATTAAAGGAGGAAACAAGAATATTTTTGAAAGAGTTATCGGACTCCTAAAATTAGGTTGCACATACATTGGCCTTCTTATTTAAGAATAATACATTTTTTGTTGCAATATTTTAGACAATAAGTCGTAAACTTTCTTTGTACCTATCTAAGAAAATCTATGGACATTTAATCGTTGGAATCTGTGAAACTTATCTATTTGCTATCTGTATTTGTTAGTTCTTTAGTACAATATTGTCTTCTTATTTAGTTTTTTAAAAGAAACATACATCTACTGCTCTACAATTACGAAAATATATTTTCTCAAACTTTTTTAGCTTCATTTATATTTTGATGCGTGTCCTTTGGGACAGAATGCTTCTTTACAGCTATTTACGTATAAAATTTATCTGTCTGAAAGTTACCCCGACAGATTTTTTAGAACAAGTTTATAGTGCAATAACTAAAGTACCGCTTATAATTTTGATTTCATATTTTGGCTATTTTTAGGGTTCCGTACCCAAAGGGTAAAAACGGGAACCCTATTACTAAGACTTCGCTGTCCGTCCGTCCGTCCGTCTGTCACAAAGGTCTATCTTATGAACCGTTATATCTAGACAGTTGAAATTTTCACAGATAATGTATCTATGTTGCCGCTATAAGAACAAATACTAAAAACAGAATTAAATAAATGTTTATAAATAAAAAAATACTTTTACTAAACATTATCTTTTAAGTAACAATTTTACATAGAATCTTTCAAGTCCTCGGTGGCCGCGTGGTTAAAGCGTTAGGACTTTACGCTGCTATGACGTTGGAGCCGTAGTAAGGCAGGTTCGAATCCTAGCCAAGGCGACTTTTTTTTAATCGTTTTTTTTAATTTTTACATCTTTATTTTACTCTTTACATATTTATTATTGATTAATACAATTTTTAGTAATGTGTTTCTTCATTTTTTTTAATTACTTATACGCGCATTCAAAATTTCAACTAAATCGGAAAAAAGTTTATAATAATATAGTGGGTCTAATATATATATAATGAATGGTACGTAACCTTTCGTGCGCGAGTCCGACTCGCGCTTGGACAATTTTTTGTGTTATAATAAAGATGTTAAATGACAATGCTTGAGTTTAATATACAGGGTGTCCCAGAAATAAGTGCAAATATTTTAACTGGTAGTATAGTTCAACCCCAGAAATTCGCCAATGAGGTTTTTTTCGCGAAAAAAAAAATTTGAAAATTGGAAATTTTTTGAAAAAATTTTTGGACATTTTTTTAGTTTTTAGTTAAAAAACATAATTTCTTGATAATATGGCAACATAGGTATTAGATTAAATTTACAAGAATCCAGAAAAGATCCAGTGGTTCTCAAAATTTTAGCAAAAAATATTTTTTGTGTGGAAATTTTCAAAGTAAAATAACTCCGTTATTTTGGACTTATTTGAAAAACGATAAAGAGAAAATATGTTTCTTTTATCGAGATCTACCACCCCTTAAAATATTTGCACTTATTTCTGGGACACCCTGTATATTTCATATAACAAGGACTATATCAACGAAAAACCCTAAAAATCGTACCAAAGTTATCTAGGTTTACGGCAATTTTAAAATCCATTAACCCGAAATATATTTTATAAAAAAAAACAAATATAATTGTCGTTTTAGGTCCATTAGATGTGTTATGCCCAAAACGGCCAATGTCATCACTCGTATCGTCAAAGAACATGTTTCCACTATTGCTGCAAATTTTTGTTTGCGCCTTGATCCAATTGGGCGCTCTTTACTTTCTGTACCGTCAGAAATGGTTTGAACCAATACCGCCGGATAGTAAAGGCGAAATCATCGTGTCTTGGGAAAATACAGTGTTGTTTACTGTTTCCTGCTATCAGTATATTGTTTTGGCATGGCATTTTTCCAAAGGGAAACCGTACAGGTATGATCATTGTTTTTTGTAAGACATCTATGATTTGTTAAAAGTATAAAACAGCCGCTACACTATCCCCGAAATGTTTTACGAAATATTTCGTGAAACATTTCGCAAAGCATTTCCGAAAATAGTACAATAAATATAAGCCCTTGTTATAAAACCAATCACGGCGGGTCTCGATCAATTTCAGGAAACGTGGGAACTAATTTTTATAACACGGGCTTATATTTATCGTACTATTTTGTGAAATAGCACGAGGCAATCAAAGTCAAACATTGAGGTGGCTTCAGAAAAATAAGTATACATGGAAAAACTGACATGAAAACAGTTACCGATGGTAAATTAAATTGGCTATTCCTCGAAGGTTATACAAGAATATTTAGTTTTAATCATTGTCTACAATTACAATTACAAAAATATATTAGAAAAATATAAAACAGTGACTAACTAGCGGTCTACCATTTATTCGGCAGTATTGCGCCTCATGAACAAAATAGACACAAAATTATTTAAAAAATTGTCTAATTATTTATTATTTCTGGTTATGGTAAAGTAACATTTATACTGTAGCAAAGTTTAGTTTACGAATTTGATTTTGTTTTTCTAGTTTTAATTGTCTAAATCTCTGCATAATAAATACTAGTCGAATGGATTTACATCAAACTATGCTGGGTGCTAATGAAAGTATCGTTTACAGATTTCTCTTAAGAACAATAAAAGAACATTGCTTTTAAATAATGTCCATACTGTCTGAAAGTCCATACGTCCATCTGTCTGAAAGTTACCCCGACAGATTTTTTAGAACAAGTTTATAGTGCAATAACTAAAGTACCGCTTATAATTTTGATTTCATATTTTGGCTATTTTTAGGGTTCCGTACCCAAAGGGTAAAAACGGGAACCCTATTACTAAGACTTCGCTGTCCGTCCGTCCGTCCGTCTGTCACAAAAGGTCTATCTTATGAACCGTTATATCTAGACAGTTGAAATTTTCACAGATAATGTATCTATGTTGCCGCTATAAGAACAAATACTAAAAACAGAATTAAATAAATGTTTATAAATAAAAAAATACTTTTACTAAACATTATCTTTTAAGTAACAATTTTACATAGAATCTTTCAAGTCCTCGGTGGCCGCATATGGACCATACTTTTGTTGACATCGGGTCAATTAATAATTTTCCCAAACGGATATATTGATAATTAAGGTCTAAAACAACATATCATATACAATTTTATATACTAATTCATTATAATAACATTAAATCATAAAAATATTGTTATATTCCTGCAGTTTAAGTGAAAAGTTTATATAATAAACGCGTGTTCAAATATTAATTATGTGGAATATATATCAATAGAACATAAAACGCGATGTAATTAACGAAATATCATCATAACAACAGCTATTTTAGAAACGTCTAGGTTTACTTATTTCATTGAGATTCATGAAAAAAAATCCTTTGCCTCCGGTACAGATACCGCCACGTTTTGGAAATAGCTGAAAACAAAAAAAAATGAATTAGGCAACAAAAACGCCAAAATAAATTCCCCCCTCGCCCTCCTCATTAGTTGTTTCCTTGGAACGAACTACACACCTCTCTCAAACCAATCAGTTATAAAATTCACTTAGATTAATTAATTATATAGTATGCCCCCGGATTGTCTTTAAAAGAGGAAAAACTTTTTTATTGGCATTTTAAGAAAAATACGTTCTTCATAAAAAATGTTGCTTGTTCTAAAATGGTTAATCCCGTTTAGACTTTTCCAAATTTCCATACGCATACCGTTTTAGAGAAGATTAAACAAACATGAAAATATGATTGAAGTCAATCCTGTATTTATTTGTGTATCTATTAACTTGTTAAAATATTAGTTAACTATCTTTAGCTATCTTTGTCTTCCATGTTAAAGTACGACTCCCGGATTTAGAATAACCACGACGGTATGTTGTTGTTTTATACAGGGTGGTCCGAACTGTATTCCGGAAACTTCGGCAGCATATTCTGCAGATAAGATAAGTAAAAAAGTTCGTATAAATGTATGTCCTAAATGCTTAGTTTCGAAGATACAGAGTTAAGAAATTTAATTTATTTCGATTTTTTCCAAATAATTTCTGAAGTAACATCAATATTTGGAATCTAAATTATCAATACCTCAGTCATCATTGACATAAATTAAACATGTCGACTAAACAGTTATTAGACTGAAATCATAAATTTGAAATGTTTTTGTGCCAAAAGTTCAAAAGAAACTGTTTTATTATCATTTTTTCAAGAAAAAATTATGATTATTTTAGAGGAATAAAAAGTTCTCTAATTTATTATTTCAGTCAAATAACTATCTACTCATCATGTTTATTTTTTGCCAATAATGACATGTATAGACTATTTCCATTCTAAATATCTTGAGAATGGTTGCTCATAGCGATTTTTACCAAGAAAAACTTTTAAGTAAAAAATCACGGAAATGTATATTTTTTTCACTCAGTAGTTTTATACGGGTTACGAACAAAAAGTTATTACTCTTTAAAGCAGTTAAAACGCATTTAGGTGGCGCCCAAATAGGACTCATATTAACATCAAAATCAAAATTATCATGTCAACAAACTACCAGACAGCAATTTTCATTCAAATATTGATGTTACTTTATTTTGAAAAAATCGAAATATAAATGAAACTTCTATACCCTGTAGCTTCAATCCTAAGCGTTTTAGGACATAAATTTATACGAACTTTTGTACTTATTTTTATCTGCTGTCAAAATTTCCGGAATACAGTTCGGACCACCCTGTATTATTGTTTGTTTTAGAAAAAGCGTGTTCACTAATTTTTGGTTTATAATTACGGTTGCATTCTTGACCGTTTTTACTACCTGGTTAATGATCAATCCCTGTAAAGAAGTAGCGTATTTCATGGACTTGATGTATCTACCACTCAAGGCGAAAGACCAACGACTATTTCGTTGTTTGTTGTTGGTATTTCCTATAGCTCACTTCATCATAGCTGGATTCATTGAGGTGCCATGATTGTTTTAAATTTTTATCATTAAAAAATAACTAAATAATTCTTGAATTTTAGAGATTAATTGATGACCGGTCTTGGTTGAAAAAATTGTGCCAAATAATTCGATGTAAAAAAAAGCCAAAGAATAAATACAAAGTGTTATTACAGGATCAGTATTTTCCGCATTTAATCCAATCACTGCTGTGCTCTTCCGCTCAACCTAGTGTTCAACCTTAGTGTTTATAAGCATACAATATATTCTATTTTTATACTATATTGTTTTTAAATATTTATAACCATTTAAGGAATAAACTGTTTTGTTATTTAAATATTTTCAGTTATTTTATACAGTGTGTTTCCAAAAAAAAAGGAGTCTAAAAAAATTTAGTGTGATTCCTCATATAATATTATGTATGTTTTAAGTCAAAAAGTTTATACGATTATGGGGTCCATACTTAGTTTCTGATATACAGTGCGTTAACATTTTAAAAAAGTCGAAATTCTTGCTTAAAATAAATGAAAAAAATGTCTATATCTCTGTGGCGGATTCATCTGTCCAAAAAAGTCCATATTATACAGGGTGTCCCACTTAAGATGGATACAAGCCAATATCTTGATTGTTTGTTGAGCGATCTTTTTCATTTTTGGCAGGAGGCTGTATGGCTATAAGACGTACATTTTGCCCAGGGTAAGAAATGCGATACCTCATAGACGTACGTTTTAATGGGGTTAATATTTTTCGTGTCAAGAGTAAACTACCCTTAGGACAATATTTTTTCAAATCTGATAAATTATTTTGAATCCTCCTTACCTAAGATACTTAAGTTCTAATTTTTATAAATATTGATACAGGGTGTGTCATTAAAATAAGATATTTTTATTTTTATTGTTTTTTTAAGTACTTACGACGCCACTGGATAAACAACTGATTTATTATCAATAACCAATTATATCCAATTATCAATTAATAATCGATTTAAGTTTGGTCGAAGATGGTTGAAGATGTTAACGATGTTGTTGTTAGAGCATATTTTTCAAAGTTAATAGTGATTGTTTTAAATAACTATTTTTTGGATTATTTAAAATAATCCCCAATAAAACGAATAAAAATCATATTTCAGATTCCATTGAAAGCTGGGGTTTTAAATTATTTTGTAACTCATTTTATTCATTTGTATTAGCAAACTTAAAAAACAATTTTTTAAAGTAAACAAAATAAATTGAAAATATTTAGTTTTTTGTATCGTATCTTAATTATTATGGAAGCTATCTGAAAACTTAAATCAATTATTAATTAATAATTGGTTATAAGTGGTTATTGATAATAAACTAGTTGTTTATCCAGTGGCGTCGTAAGTACTCAAAAAATAATAATAAAAATAAAAATGTCTTATTTTAATAACACACCCTGTATCAATATTTATCAAAATTAGAACTTAAGAATGTCAACATTATATATAATGTCATTTTAGAACCTTTGTGGCATTAACAGAACGTCAACGGTTTTTGTAGACGTAGGTATCTGTTTAAAAAAAACTAAAGTGTTGCATTTAGATATTTTAAATAGTTTTTTTCTTTGTTCTTTGTTCTATTTTTTTTTGCTTCTGATGACGAAAAGAGATTAACTTTCTGAAAAATTAAGAATTTTTGTCTCCGCAGGCAAATTTGTTTATGAGTCAGCTACTGCTGACAATTAGTCTCCGTTGGATTAACGCAACACTGTTTACAAAAAAATAACTATTTTATTTTGTAGATTTTCTTACAGTGCCGAAATACCCATAGGTTTTTTTTTAAATAAATGGTATTTCAACCTCTGGGTCAAAAATGCATGTCTTGGGGGTAAAAATAAAAGTGTTTTGGTGTATTGTATTGAATTAGTGTTTTATTTTGCTGATCCAGAGATTGATTATAAATTATAAGTGTCGTCAGTTTGAAAAAACCGCGGATTTTAATTTTATTTTTGTCAGTTTTATTAAAAAAATATTTTTTGTTCATTGGAATTACTTAAAACAAAGTGAATTTACAGTATTTGTTCAAGCATTCTCTACCAATTAGAAACCAAGATTTTCTACTTATGAGATGATCTGTATAAAAATTCATAGTAAATACACAGGGTGTTCACAGGTAAATAATACAGGGTGACATAGTGATGCAAAAAACTAGTTTTGTTTTTGGGATTAATGTAAAATATGTGGACAATAATAGCACACATCTAAGAAATATTTTCATATACCTGATGAATTTTTACACAGAAGTTGTATTTTGGTAAATGGAATGCTAGATATTGGTTTCGCTCACTAGATTTAATATAGACCGCCCTGTATAGGTCCAAAAAGTTCGAAATTTAAAAATGTTAATTAAACATTTTTTAAAGTTTGTACAATATAGTGTTTGTAAGTTCTTGTACATTTTCTGATTTAAATATATTTTTTTCTAAGATCAAACACAATTTAATTTACTTTATATATTTACATGGAATCTTAAATTGTCTACTAATAAATTATAATAAATTTTTAATCTAATCTTATCAGATAATTGCATTAATCGTTGTAATACACATATATTTTGACAAAGCATTTTATCAGAAAATCTGAATTATTTGTACTGAACAAATATTATATTTTTTTCTTGTACTTTTTCTATTCTCCAAAGAAAAATGTCTGTGAACGTGGATAAATTTATTAAAAGATTAACAGCTCCAGAAGGTAAGAAGGAAAATATAATTTTTTTGATATAGTTTTAAATATTATAATATATTTTCTTTATACATTTATTTCTTTTATCTTCATATATAGTCTGCTCAACGGGAGGATCCCTGACGGTGACACTTGTCTGTCATTTTAAATCACAGACAAATTTTATTTTCTGTAATTTTTTGATGTCGTTTGTCGAGATCTTCCCAAAATCACATGTATTTCAGTATTTTACTTAATTTCAGTTCGAAAAAGTAAAAAAATAGAAATGATCGACTTTAGTGAATCTGAAATTAACGCACTGTGTCTTGCGGCTATGGATGTTTTGATGAAACAACCCATGCTTCTGGAATTGGAGGCTCCCATTAAAGTTGGAGGTAACAATGAATTATATATAAGATCTTGCCTTTTATTTACAGCTTGTCAAGTATAAAAGATATACTAATAATAGAATTAATAAATAATATATATAATTTATATAAATAATATATATAATTTATATAAAATATAAAACATAATATTAAAGATATCCTGTATTTTAGGAGATATCCATGGCCAGTTTACTGATCTTTTGAAGATATTTGAATTTGGAGGTTACCCTCCTGATGCAAACTACCTCTTTTTGGGAGACTACGTTGATAGAGGAAAGCAATCTCTAGAAACCATATGTCTGTTGCTGGCTTACAAAGTCAAGTATCCAGAAAACTTTTTTCTCCTTAGGGGGAACCACGAAGCAGCTCAGGTGTGCAAAATATACGGATTTTATGACGAATGTAAGGTTAAAATTCCTAGTTTTGCTTAGTTAAGTTTTATAAGTTGAAAAATTTAATAAATTCTTGTATTTTTTGTATTTCAGGTAAAAGAAGACACAGAATACAACTGTTTAAAACGTTTACGGACTTGTTTAACAGGTTACCAGTAGCTGCTATTATTGATGACAAAATATTCTGTTGTCACGGTGGGCTGAGTCCTGACCTGTTGCATATAGGTCAAATTCGGAATATAGAAAGACCCATCGATGTCCCAACTCAAGGTATGATAGAAACTCGTAATTAATATAGTTGATCTAGTTTAACTTTTATTTTTATGTTAATAGTTTTAAGACAATAAGAGTCTTCATACAATCTATTGGTTTATTAACTACTTAAAAATATATGCATACAGATAGTATCGATAAGTAGGGACGGGCAATACTCTGTGATTTAGTTTTTAAATAGCACTGCTAAATGCTACTGTAATTTTTTAATGTCAGCGAAAAAAAAATTAAAACTAAAAAAATTTTGTGTGCATGTGCCCATATTTGAAGTGAAACTTCTTACTATATTATTATTCTTACTATTAATAAACAATTTGATTCACTTTTACAAAATTTGTATTAAAATGTCCGTCCAAAAACTCCAGTCGGGTACTTCTGTCTACGTACCGAGTTTGGTTCCAATCGACCCGTTCGAAACGTCGAGGGCATCATCCTGTAACCCGTCCCCAATTATGCGGAATCGACTCACATTTTTCTTCAATATCAAATCCTTAGTCCCACCCTGATGTAGATGTAAACGAAACGTCGTATCCAACTTTGCAAGGTGGAACCGTGGCGTGGGCACCGTCGCTACCATAGCCTACCCACTAAATTTGGCCACGATCGGACGCCGTCAATTTTTGACGTTCCTTACGTCGTAACGAACTGTCACAGTGACACGTGTCGTACACAGGCAAGTTGGCCTTGGTCCAATCTATCGACATACCAAATTTGATTTAACTAGGACGAATTTTTCTACTACCTTACCACTTTTCCTCTCGCCTGTTGTATCACGTGTCGTACCACGGCCTTGATTTTTACTCCCAGCGCGCGTAAAGAAGTTTCACTTCAAAAATCGATTTAAAATTAAATTTAGAATTTGAACTTATATCACAGATTAGGTATCCTATAAGTATACAGATAAAAATCTTATCCCTAATTCGTGGTACGAAAATTGTTTTTTATGACGATATGCAAACGAGTCAAATTTCCTGTGCGCAAAAATAAACTCGCGTAAAATAACAATAAACAGCGTAATAGAGAGATATCGCTAAACCGAATAGGGTGCATGGACGTTAATAAGGCCAGGTGTTATTTCCTTTACGTGAGGTGGTATTAACTCTCTTCATTTATAGTTATCGGATCGGAAAGAATTCTGATCGCGTCGCGTCTGCTATTTAAACTTTACCTAACTTTGAATTTAAAACTTTGAAATTGTTTTGGAAATTGGTATTTTAAAACTAAAGGGCTAAAGTGCTTTATTGTTCAACGTCTGCCAGTGGGTTTAGGGCAACAAGCAACAAATTCTCTTAGAAGGGCTAAGTCGTCATCTGCTGTAAACCTAAGACTCTTTATAGGTTCTTTAGTATTGGAAGTCCAGCTAGTTAAATATCAAATTACCTAATAAAACTAAAGCAATAATTCAAAACAATTCAAACATAACCTAAAATAAAAGATCTCGCCGGCCGGCTCCGGTTGTCAAATACCCGCGCATGCCCATTTAAGCAATTTTTAAACGTTATCAGAGGTTATTTAGAAAAAGCGCTTGGTGTAATTGATCCGCAAATTACGTCAGGCGGTAACGTTATTAGCGGGTGTTGCGTTAAAAATTGACTCGCGCATATCGTAACCATGATAAGGTACGCGTAAATACTGGATGACGCTATTAGGTTTTCCGATATCTCTCTAATAACTGTGCCTGTCAGGCGCTGTGCACAATTTTAGAGGCCATAAGTGGGCGTGCTATTTGCGCAAACTAGTCAAAACCAAACCAAAAACAATAAAGAAAAAACAAATATTATAATCTGTGCTTATATTATTATTTTGTGTGGTATAATCCTCATGCTTGTGTTTATCTACAGGTCTCTTATGTGATTTACTGTGGTCAGATCCCACTCCGGAAAATGGTTGGATTGAAAATGACAGAGGCGTGTCATTTGGTTATGGACCCGATGTGGTTCGGAAGTTTCTAGAAAAGCACGATTTTGATTTGGTCGTTCGAGGGCACCAGGTATTTGTCAGTTTATTTTAATATCATTTTTAGGAGACATAAATCATTAATTATGGCATTATAAATTAACTTATTTCACTTTATTTTTCAACCAAATCCAGGAAACTAATTTTATTTCTATTAGTCTGTTTTCTTTATTATAAAAATATGTTATTATCCTAAAACAGATGGAACTGCTATTATTAATTAAAAAAACAAAAAGGTTTTTGATATTACATATTTATAACTAGCATATTTCAATAAATATTTGAAAGATTACTGTACAGAAATATGTATACCTGTTATTACCAGGAAACTAATTTATCAAATTACCTAATAAAACTAAAGCAAAAGGACTAACTTTTGCCGGCATACCAATAGAATTTTGTGGCTCGGCGATGCTGGCTTCGCACCATAAGCCATTGCTGTACCGGTATTTTTATATAAATACAACCAAACTTATATGGAATCATCTATTATTTTTCATTATTTTTTATACGTATGAACGTTTCGTATTTATGAATAAAACTCAGTCCTTACCAAAGACTTTTAAAAAGAAATAATCCATATTGCAATAAAAAAATAATCAGTTCTCAAATTTTGGTTTCTGAACGAAATGTCATTTAAATTTTTAATGGTCAAAAAGCAAAAAAAAAGAAAATTGATAATTTTAATAATCCGTGTTGCCACCTCTAGCCCTTATGCAAGCTTCTATCCGCGCTGGAATGCTTATTAAATTATCAACCTTGTCTTGCTGTATGTTTTCCCATTCTGCTAATGCTGCTTCAATAAGCTGTGCGAGATTTCCTGAATTGTTTCGACGAGCTCTAATCCTTCTTTTGAGCTGGTCCCAAAAACTTGTCTTCGACAGGGTTTCGATCTGGTGAACATGCAGGTCAGTCCAAAACTATGACACATTCCGTTTCAACATATTTTCTAGCCTCTGCTGGTATGGGGAGGTGCATTATCGTGTATAAACTTAAAATTATCCTCAATGGCAGCTCTCAAAAGCCTTAAGATTGGTTCTAGCACTAAATCAACATAGCCCCGACCCGTTAACGTTTTTTGAAGTGGTAACAATGGTGTTTTTGCTCCCAGCATAATACCTTCCCAAAACTTTATAGTGCCTCTTTTATATCTTGGTAGAAATTTGACAGTCTGGAGTCTTGCTCGTCTTCCTGGAGTTTTGAGAAGAGGAATTCGATGGTCATCTGATCTTCTGGTTTAAGGTCAATTCTGGTTTTATCTGAAAAAACCTTTTGCCTCAATTGTCCAGTTTTGATGTTGAAGACATCCATTTTGCCGGTCAGTTTTGTTTTGCCGAGATAACTGTGGGACCCGTAACTCTTACTATACAACCCTCGAGCACGAAGCCTTTTTCTTATGGTTTCAACTGAAACGTTCACACGTGTAACTGCCAGAAGTTGTCTTTGTAGCTCTGGATGAGAAACATTGGGATTTCTTCTAGCAATTTGGCACACAAAGCGGTTTTGTTGTTGAGTCTTGACTCTTTGACGACTTTGTCAAAAACAACACCCTGAGTAACGCCTACTATCTTTGCTACGTGTCTTTAGAGCATTCCTTGTTCAATGGAAGCAATAATTCTTCCCCTCCGTTCATCTGTTAATCCAATATAAGGCATTTTTTTTTTCGATCGAATAAAAATTACTGGACCAATCGTGATTTTACTACTGAACACGAAATTTACAAGAAAATCAATTGCAACAGTCATTTATTCTTTATTTATCATGTATATACCAATAGTTTTCCTTGCAAAATGTTTAGTCGGAAATAAAGAGTGATTCCATATAAGTTTGGTTGTTTGTATGTTATTTCTTATTTCTGCTTAAGTAGCAACGTTTTTTTATCCATACTAGTTTTAAAATAACAGATCGGTAAAGATTCAAGTCTATTTGTTTAATCCATTACTACTTTATGAGATTGAAATAAAGGATGTACCGGTTAAAACGTTAATAAAATTGCATTTTAGGTGGTCGAAGATGGATACGAATTCTTCGCACAAAGAAAACTTATTACTATCTTCTCCGCTCCTAATTATTGCGGTTCTTTTGATAATGCTGGAGCATTAATGTCCATCAACGAGGACTTGCTATGTTCCTTTCAAGTGAGTACCTAATTTATAACAAATTTATTGGAGGTTCCTTAATAAGTTAAGCTTATAATTAATTATTTTTCTTTTCAAATATGTTGTGAATAATATTTTTTACTTTTTTTTGCAGATACTTACCCCAAAGAAACGGCCAAATAAAACTTAGAAGAACATGTTGTATAAACACTACAACATTTTTGTATATTACGTGTTAAAACCGAATTAAGACCTAAAGTCCAAGCTGTAGTGTACTTGATTAATAACCTTTACTTACCTATAAAACAATTTTTGTATTTTGCCTATATGTATTACAATTTTTTATTAATACAATTTGAAATGTATTTTTTAATTTCATTAAAAAAATATTTTTTAGAAATTGAACTTATCTTTATTACATATTATAATTTTGTTATCATTATACGCTACAAATGTCTCTTAAATTTGTATAATTTTGTTTAAATTTTTATTTTAGATTTTAAATATAGTTGAACAGTTTTTTCTAGTGACTTGAACTGACCTCCGACCTATGAGCCCTTGTGCACCCGCTTGTTCAGGTACTTCACAGGGTAAAGGAGCGTAGTCCCTCCAGTACTAGTCTTGCTGTCCCGATTGCGATTCAGAGTCTCACAGATACGTCAAAATATTTTTCAATACCGTTTGATAGAGAGTTATCCCGTGGTCTAAAAGGAATTTTTAAGAATGTCAATTATAAACTTGTGTATAGTGCTAATAATAAATTACAACAATTATTAAGCAATCCAAAGGACAAAACACCTCCACTGGAAAGGTCGGGTATTTATGAAATTTCTTGTAAAGATTGTAATCAGAAATATGTTGGGCAAACTAGAAGATCAATATTAACTAGATTTAAAGAACATTTAGCTCAGATAAGATATGGTAGACCGGATAAATCTTGCGTTGCCGAACATATTGTTGATAAAGAACATTTTATAGATCTTAATAATTTAAAATTAATTAAACAAGTCTCAAATTACAGGCAATTAGATGCATATGAAAGCATCAGAATTAATAAATGTAAAGATAGTATGAACAGAGACAACGGTCCAATTCCTTCAAGTTCTTTGTTCCTACTACTCTAGTGGCGGAAATTTAACTGTTACGCTCGGTGGGCTCTGACTCGGTTGGCTAGATCTTGCCACGCCCACTCGGTGCCCACTGAGCGAGAATATAAACGCTCAACTTGTAGATTTTATTTCAGTTTATAATCATCTGCTGATAATTCTAACATGGTTAGCAAAACGGGCGTTCAGTGTAAAAGTAAATGCGTTTTGGTGTATTGTGGTGATTTAGAGTTTTTATTTTGCTGTTTCAGGGTCTTTAACGCAGAATCTGCAGCAAAGACTTTCTTGATATATTTTAATATAGTTTGTTCAGGGAGCACTTGACAATTATATGCCGTGTCATTAGACTTAGAATTAGGTAGTACCCCTCCTGGTCATGGGTAGCATTCTAATTTTTCGGGTGTTGATGCAGTAACACTGACACCTTTTCCGGTATCAACACAGAGTATCAGCACAATTGTTTAATATGGCACAGTAGTGAATCAGCGTTATTTCAGTTAAACAAACGCAGGGTTTCTCCCGCTCACTGTCGAGAGGCCCGACGACGGCTGACGCGGTACTCCGTGTTGCCAAATGATGAAAAATTGCGTACTTTGAAATACAAGAAAAATTAAATACACTTTTTTGATAATTTAAGGATAGTTTCATATACAATGTTATCTAATATAGCATCTTGAAGAGCTAAAGTAGTCTTTTAAATTAGAGCACACATACTCAATAAAAGGATGATGGCAACATTGATTTGCAAAGGTAGTTGTAAAATTGGAGATCGGTAATTCCCATAGCACACCACGTGTTATGTTTTGGTTTTGTTTAGTTTACAGTATTCGTATGCATAACCGATTAGCCTCTTGAATATTTTTCCATAATTATTCTACCTACTAACATTAGCATTGGCAACAACGCGCCGCGACGATGTGTTGCCTAAACAAAATCGAAACTGAAAGGCATTAAATCGAATCCATATTGTAAGAAAACCACTCTTTTATCAATGAAATATATATTTTCTCCACGATAAGAAACAAAAAATTCATTATTATTTACTATCAATTTTTTATTACAATAACAATCGAGAAGATGTAAACGCGAGTCTACGTCAGATTTAGCTCTCCATCCTCCTATGAACCATGAACCATATATTTGAGATGTCGGTATCTAATATTATTTATTTCATAAACAATAACAAAAATTTATCGTAGATTTTCACTAATACTGAGTCTGCAAAACTGCAAACAATTATCGATACTCGTATGCATATAACAAGAAATCGAATCACATTGGCCCAGCATGACACAATAAAACTGTTTTATTGTATCATGTATCATGCTGGCATAGCCAAACTAACGAAATGGCACAGGGCCCGCGTCTCGATACGATACCAGAGACGATACTCCGCGCGGAAAGCTTGCAGCGTTATATTAAAAGTGTCGGTGTCAAAACAATCATTGGCGCCGTTTCAACACCCATGGCATAGCGAACCCAACGAAACTATACCGTGCCCGCGTCTCGATACGATACTCCATGCGGAAAGCTTGCTGCGTTATATTAAAAGTGTCAGTTTTAAAAAAATCATTGACGCTGTTTCAACACCCATGACACACTGAAAGGTGTCAGCACAAAAGTGCCATAAAACACAGTGTTATACATGGCTATTCCCTCCAGTGTACGGTCTGCTTTTCTCTGATCTAGAATTTTAGTTCACTACAGGTATCGTATGATCGAATAAAAATGGCGTCTGCGATGGCTATGAAATGAAGATCGCTGTCATTTTATATGTAAAATTATATGGGAAATGTCATCGATCGTCATTTCATAGCCATCGCTGACGCCGTTTTTATTCGATCATACGGTATTAGAATGTTCAGCCATCGTTCAAAACGTCACATTATATGTTTTGTCGAACTCTCTCAATCACTTGCCAACCAGATGAAAAAAAATGGTGACGTCATTACGGCATTTCGTAAATTACTGCATATTCTTTTTAGTAATTGTCATTTGATTTGAGGTTATAATTTTATTGACGGACATCGATCAATGTCCAAAATTAAAATTTTATTGTTGTAAAACAAAATTCAAATTTGCAATTGCAAAAATGCCTCAAGTATCTAACCAAAATGAACAAGAGCTCATTGCTAAGCTTATAAATAATATTTCTCCAGAAAAAGACCCTGGTAGAACTGTTGTACCAGAGTGTTACACCCTTGCCCGTGGACGCCGTATATGAATTGAGTACAATGCAAAGGTGATATATTCCTAAGTAAAATACATACTGTTGGGTTTTTTAAATACTATAGCGAGTTGCTGAGGCTTTAGAAATAGGATGTTTAAAAGTTCAAAGGATTGGAATTAAAGGGATCGTATAACTGATAAAGGGTTCAAGAAAAAAATTAATAAATGCCGAAAAAAAAACGGAACTCGCTCAATCAAAAATATAGGAACGTACTTAAAAATTTCTGGACAATATGAACTGATCTCAGACACACCCTAAGACTAAGATATTTGACATATAACGATGACGTAACGGTGAACGATGGCTGAACAGTCTTTAGTAATTCGATGATCCTTGCCTTGGATTTTTACGAAAATTTTAAAAGAAATACAAAATTTTCAACTTTTGGGAACGAAAAATATTGCCAATTTAAAGATTTTTGTTTTTATACAGGGTGTTTCAAAAAACATGTGCCATCTCTCATGGGGAGATTCCTCACGTAAAAATAAGATTTATTTTTCATATCATCATAGGTCCGATTCTGCTTTGTTTCGTAGTTACAGGTTGTTAAAGTCTTAATAATCTTTCGATATGTTATAATTTTCTTCCAAGTACTTTTACTGATTCAAATAAAATTTTGAATGTAAAGTTTACTATAAGTGCTACATATTTTAATGCTAAAAAAGTATCGATAAATACATCATGGACGTGCATATGGGTTATCACTGGAATATTTTTCAAAAATTAAACATGTGCGCCACTGACTTTTTTCTTTTCATATCAAAATTGTGCTGTTTAATGCCAATTAATAATTATCTCTTGATATTCTGTCTTATTCGGCCTACTTGATGAGATAAACTCAATTTTATTAATCACGATTAATAAAATTACAATAAATTATTATATTTTACCTAATTTATTATTATTACTATTAGTTATTCTTACTATTAGTCCAACCTACAGCAATTTTAAATAAAAAATAATGGTATTTAAGATAATTACAAAAAACCTAATTTTAAAAAGTTTTAACATCCGGTAACTCTGAGACTATGCATTTCAATACCCATGTTTGTAGGAACTTTTTTTTTATATTTTTTGATGAGGAACAATGAGTACTTATTTAAAACTTATATTAAATAATTATATTATTTTTTTTATAGCTTGCTATTAGACTTTTGGATCAAGGCAAATTAATAATATTGCTTTTATCTCATCAAGGAGGCCGAAATCGACAAAATATCAAGAGACAACTTTTAATCGGCATTAAACTGCTTACACTTTTTCGCTAACAAGAGAAAAAAAAAGGACAGTGGCGTACATGTTTTTTTTACAAAAATATTCTAGTGATAACCCATCTCCAAGACACATCCATGGTGAATATGTCAACACTTTTTTAGCTTTAAAATATATCGAATTTATAGTAACTTTTACCCTCAAAAATTTCTTTCGAAACGCTAAAAGTACTTGGAAGAAAATTATAATAAATATTAAAACTTTAATACCCTGTAGTTACAAAACAAAGCAGAATCGGACCTATGTTGATATGAAAAATAAATCTAATTTTTACGTGAGGAATCTCCCCACGAGAAATGGCTCATGTTTTTTGAAACACCCTGTATAGGAAACACCCTATGATATTATAATAATTTTAATTATATTTCTTTTTCTAAAAATAGCAACCTTGAATTAAATCTTAGAAAAACAATTAATGTTTACAACTACTCGTAACAAATTAATATAACAAATATAAATCCTAGCTTAATAATAATTAAAAACAAAATAATATTGGCGCTAAAATAAAGTCGATAATGCAGCTCAAAAGGACCGATTTGCCAGGCGCATCTGACGTCAAGCCAGCTCCCTATCTCTATTCCAGTAAAAATGGACGAACATCCGCACCATTCTAGCCAAAAAAACGATCAAAACACTGACCAGTTAAAAATAAAATGGTAAAATAGCGAGTTTATATATAGAACACAAATTTCTATATTTAAATAATAACATACAAAACTAAGTTTTTGTTTCAACAGGTATGTTGTTGTCATTAGTCTATTTTTTAAATATCACTTAACTGTAATCAAGTTAAAAATTAGTAAAAATTTGTAAACTTTTTGGCTTAGTAAACATTATTGTACAGGGTGATCATCCAGATTATTTCTAGCAGAATTTAACACCGCGATAGAAATTTAAGTTTTTAATTTTAAAAGGAAAGTTTTTGTTCGCTGAAAAAAAAAATTCTAATACACTCACCCGCACAAAAAACGGGAACTTTAAAATTTCGGTGTATTTTAAAGTTTAATATATTTTATTCTAGTGATCCGATTTTGATGATGTTTTAAGAAATTTGCAGCTAAATCATTTGATTTTTTAGTATCTTTTTCTAAATTAAAAATGAAAGTTTGCATCTGTCAATTATACGAGGTAAAACAAAATTTTGATATTTTGATGAAAGTTTGAAACATCCTGCGGAGTACGTTAACAAAGCAAGGAATTTAAAAATAATTTTATTATCTAGGTACGTCTTTTCTCGATAGTCTGTTTTTTGGTTCATCTCAATAGCTTTATTTTTATTGGAGATATTCGCTTTTGAATAAGCCAGTTACAATTTACAGAAATTTTAGAATTGATTTTGGATACTCATCAACACTTAGGAACACTAAGGACTTATAAAGTAATGTTTATGGTTTTTGTAATGTCACTGTCATTGAAAAGTCATATTATTATTGTTTATTAACGTTTACTCTAGAAGAGATGGTTTTAAGTTCTGAAGTATCGTCTATTGTTGCTTTAACTGATCATGGTAGAGATCAAATTTTTGACTTAAAACCATACAGGTTGTTAATTTGTTTATTACTCGCGGCAAGAGCTTTATGGTTGAAACATGGCAACCTCGGCCCGCTTGTCGATAGACGACGCGACGGGACGAGTCGGCAGAACCCTATAAGTGCATGCGTTCTCAATAGGCAGTGCTGCCATTCTGTTCCCCTATAAGTAACTGTCCAGTTATCAATCTGCAATGACTAAAGAATCCAAGGACAAATAACACCCGAGAGCAAATTGTGCCGATGTCACCAAACAGTGCCGTGGCACATATTTTTCTTAACCCAGCTGTTTGAAGCAATATTTATATTTTTTGATAATTGTTTTGACTAAGTCTATGGTGTATCATCCTAATTAATTACCAAAAAAACGTATTAAAATATTAACAATGGGTACAAAACTAGTTTCGACGTATAGCACATATCAAGTACATTAGATGTTAATTGAAATTGAAGAATAATTATCGACTTCAATAAGAAAACGCTAAAAAGTTGGAGTGGACTGTTTATTTACATATGAAACGTAACTCCTGGCTCTTTCTTATCGCTGCTGCTTTTACACTTGAAAGCTGAACAACTAATCACCATTTAATAGAGTTTATACAAAGTTTACTATACACAAACTATTAAAAATCGCTAAAATTGTCGCTGGTGACCAAATGATGACTCATTGTTTGCCATCAAAAGAATGGCTTCTAAGGTCACAAATTCTGCTGCAGTCCGTATATGGGCGTTACATGTCCTTATATTCTATAGTCATTGACAATCTGTATATGCTATTATAGAGTAACTGCCCAACAGACAATAATAATATGGTTTTTCAAAGACGGTGACATTACATAAATCATAAACACTATTTTATAGGTCTGTTGATTAGGACCAATAGTAAAGGCATTGTTTTAATGTAAAAAAATACGAAAAAATGTTAATGTCTTTCGAAATCGAATATCTCCAAAAAAATTAAGCTATTGAGATGAACAAAAAACCAAATTATCGAGAAAAGACTTACCTAGATAATAAAATTGTTAAATTCCTGCCTTCGTTAACGTACTCCACAGGGTGCTTCAAACTTTCACCGACATATCAACATTTTGTTTTTCCCTCTTATAATTTACAGATGGCAATTTTCACTTTTAATTTAGAAAGAGGTACTAAAAAGTCAAATAATTTAGCTAAAAATTGCTTAAAATCCTCAAATTCGGTCCATTAGAACACAACATATAAAACTTTAAAATACATGATAATTTTAAGGTGCCCTTTTTCGTGCAGGTGAGTGTATATTTTTTTATTTCTCTGTTTTGTAGAACATGCATTCTCTTTATATCAATATATCTAAAGAACAGCTTCCCATAGTGTACAGAAAGGAATATAATGTGCGTTTTATGGGACTGGAAAAACTACATCCTTTTGATACGAAAAAATGGGGAAATATTTTTAAGGTATACCATGTTAATATGTCACAATATATTTTCAGTGATGAATGTGTCTTAAAAAGTTAATTAGAACCTTTTTCTTGTCTTGCTGTTTTTTTTGTCCTACTTGATGGATTTTTCAGATACTTACGGATAGTGGAATGGTAACAAAAAAGACTGTCGTGGTGCCAAATGAAGCTAAACAAGAACATCTCTTGATGGTGCATAAAAAGAAATATTTAAAAAGTTTAAATGTAAGAGTATATTTTTTTTGTTACATTTTAATACATTTTTATTACATTACATTTTCTTTAAGCAAAAAAGTGTTTTTGGTTTGGTTTGGTTAATTAAATTTAATATATTTTATTTGTAGTGTAGTTTTAAGGTAGCCAGGATAGCTGAAATAGCTCCTTTGGTTCTAATGCCAAATTGTCTAATACAGAAGGCCTATTTGAGGCCTATGAGGTAAATCAACAAATAGAGAATAAATATAATGTACATTTTTCAAGTCGATCCACGGTATAGAAACAAACCAACTGCATCGAACTAAATAATTTAGATTATTACTGTGTTGCCACCATAGACTTAAAATAAAATATAAACTGAGCAACTCATTCATAAAGCTGGCAACAGCGGTCTATAGGTTTTCTCCGTCGTAACGGTCGTTCGGAGACAAAAATTGCAACACTGTCTTTCGTTTTCAGTACACCTGAATTATCCGTATCATAATAACCATGATTTCAACATATTCAAATCAAATCAAAGATCAAACAGATTTTGCATGACGTTTTTTTTAACATTCAGGTTAGGATAATTTACGTTGAAGAATCAACTTGAAAAATGTTTGATTTTCTGTATGCCATTTCTAAATGTTATTTGGTTTTTTATTGTGACATACGAAGTTTTTAGATATCAAACTGGGGGTTCAATCCTTGCTGGAAAATTAGCCTTGGATAGAGGATGGGCCATCAATATTGGTGGAGGATTCCACCACTGTTCGTCATCAAAGGGTGGTGGGTTTTGTGCCTATGCTGATATAACCCTGCTCGTTCATTTTTTGTTCTACCACTTTCCTCGACAGGTACACAGTAACACATAAAATTCTTAATTATATTCACATACTATACAGGGTCCGGCAATAGTGCGTCGGGCATCTGTAACTCATAGAATAAAAAACTTGACAGTTTTGTTCAAGTGCAAATATAAAGTATGTATGAGGATGTATTTCCGGAAAATAGTTTAATTTCTATAGGGTGACTCAAAAAAGTGTGAGTGGATCTGGATTGTTTTTTTTTAAATGGAACACCCTGTATATTATTGCATTTTTGGCTTCCTTTCAGATCACTTTACATAATCCTAAGATATGAGTAAATATATTTCGATAGTTTCAGAGATATTAAAAAACTAAATCAAAAATATATATTTTTCAACGCTTCTTAAAAAAAATATTAAAAATACAAGAACTGTTCTGAAATCAAAACTATATTAGATATTTACTTTAGATAGTCTGGTTTTACTTTGTAGAAAATATGGTAATCGTAAATCATACAGGATGTTCAATATTTTACGCCAAACTTTCAAAAATATAAAATCATTTTTCTTCGTTTCTTTAAATGGAACACCTTGTATATTATTTTTTTATTTGATGGAGAATTAAAAAATTAACATTTTTTGTATTTAAAGTATTACAAAATTTTTAATAGTTTTCCGGATACACGCAGTATTATTACATATGGCGCTTTCAATGACTTGACTTGAAAGAAGATGATTTAAGTCAAAGACTTAAGATTTGAATTTTAGAAATGACTTGCGACTTAAGATTTAAGTCCTGTTGAAACTGTCTTGTGTTGCAACTGTGTCCCTTCAGTATTACTAGATATATCAAACTAACAAAAAAACTGTGTTTTTTTTATAAAACCTTACATTTTTATATAATTTTTTAAATTTTTTAGTTAATATTTGATTGTTTTTAATCATATTCAGGTTCAGAAAGTGATGATAGTGGACTTGGACGCTCATCAAGGGAATGGTTACGAAAATGATTTTAAAGATTTCGACAAAGTTTACATCATGGACGTTTACAACAAATGGATTTATCCGAAAGATGTGAGAGCCAGACAAGCCATAAGACGTAACGTTCCTTTAGATTATTATACTACCGATGACGATTATTTGACAGCTGTAAAAAAGTAAGTATACTTGGCCGAGCAGTGTATTTTTAAGTAGTATTTTTATTTATATTGTTTCTTTTAAAGTCAATGATAAGTTAACAAAATTAAAATGTTTTTTTTTGAAAATATTAGTTTTCTGAAACGTGCAAAAAGTTTATCTATAGTTTAAATAAATGAATCTGAATGGACTGATCAAATACATGTACTGATAACATGTAATTGTTCAGTTCTGATTGCTATATTTATGATGACTTACTATGTGTGAATAACATGTGTATGAAAGTCAATATATTTCAAGTTATCTATAATTACCAATGTTTAGATAATGATAAAGTCTCATGAACTTGAGTGTATCTACCTATTTATAAATCTCAACATTTACTAGCTTATAGTTCGTATTGATGAATTTATAAATAAAGTATTTTGTTTAACTTAAAATAATAATGCTTTCTTTTATATCATTACTGTTGTTGAAGTATTTCTTAACTCTCTGAAAACTAGCAATTTTTAACTAATAATTTTTCCAAAAAAATCCTTTATGGGTATTTCGCCACTGCACTGCAAGAAAATCTACACAATAAAATAATTATTTTTTGTCCGTTAAACCTAAACGGACGCTGCTTGTCAGAAGTTATGTTTACAGTAATATAAATTTGCCTAACAAAGAAAAAAAAAATACGCTTTACGTTTCGGAAAGTTATCTCTTTCCGTCGTCGGAAGCAAAAGAATACAAAAATAAAGAAAAAAACTATTTAAAATATTTAAATTCAACTATTCCAGAACACTTTACTTTTTTAAAACAGATACGTCTACAAGTATCCGTTGACGTTCTGACCGATGGGAGGTGCCGTATACATGTACGGAATGTATAAATGCCTCCCTTATGGAGATTTCCCACGTTAAAATAAGTCTGCATTGTTTTGTAGCTACAGGGTGTTAAAATTTTAATATGTTTTTGATTTATTATAATTTTCTTCCAAGTGCTTTCAGCGTTTTGAATGAAATTTTGAGGGAAACTTACTATAAATGCGACATATTTTAAACCTAAAAAAGTGGCGATATATTTACCAGGGACGTGCATATGGGCTATCGCTAGAATATTTTTTGTAAAAAAAGCATGTACGCCACTGATTTTTTTCTCTTGTTAGTGAAATAGTGTAAGCAGTTTAATGCCGATTAAAAGTTATCTCTTGATATTTTGTCGATTTCGGCCTCCTTGATGAGATAAACGCAATTTTTTAAATTTGCCTTCATCCAAATCTAATAGCAACATTTAAAAAATTTTAATATTATTAACATTGGAAAGTTTTAAATAAGTACTCATTGTTCCTCATCAAAAAATATGAAAAAAAGTTCCTATAAACATGGGTATGGAAATGCATAGTTTTAGAGTTACAGGATGTTAAAACTTTAAAATTAGGTTTTTTGTAATTATTTTAAATGCCATTATTTTTCTATTTGAAATTGCTGTAGGTTGGACTAATAAGTTGGTTGGCAAACTTTCCAACTATCCAAACCAACTTTAACGAAAATTTTGCTGAATCTTGAGTTTAAATTTGCTGTTGGAAGGAATTATTCGTGTTAGTGTAGGCAGTTCTTAAGTCTGCACTTGAAGGATATTTTTTTTATTTTAGAAGCTATAGAGACAAGATGTACTGTGTACCTTGTACTGTTACCGTTGCAATTAAAATATAAATACATTTTAAGACGTATTTATAATTTCAGATGTTGTAGTACTTAATAATTAAATTTACTTTGTTTTTCCTTATTATAGAAATCTGGTGGAGTCTCTAAACGAATTTCAACCAAATTTGATCGTCTATAATGCCGGAACCGATATTTTAATAGGTGACAAACTCGGAGGACTTTCAGTTTCAGCCAATGTATGTAAAACAAAGTGTTTAAAAATAATCTGTATACTATTTATGACTTTTTTTGGTGTTTTAGGGCATAATCAAGCGAGACGAATTCATTTTTCAACAGGCCAAGACGAGAAATATACCGATAGTGATGTTGACGAGCGGCGGCTATCAGAAAAAAACCGCACGAATTATAGCTAGTTCCATATTAAATCTATACGAATTAGGACTTATTAACGGCTCTCAAGAATATTATTTTTAACCATTATACGATGTAAAAAATAAATGGTAAATCGGGAAAATATGTGCTTTATTTTGAATGGAAATCAACAGACCGATGTTACATATAACCTTTTCTACGCATTTAAAACTCGACCGTGTGGTGAATTTTTGTACCGCTTATGGCGTGCTGGGTTCCGACGTACCCCAATTTTTTTTTCCGTTGAAAATACATGATGAAGAGATTTTAGAAATAGCTTGTTATTTTAACACTGTTTACAATATATTCAAACTTGTGAACAAACAATTTCATTAATTTTCAACAAATTAATAAGAACGGACACAAAAATAAAGAAAAACGCATTTTTAGGAATTTCTGACAACAGAAATATAACTTGGCTAAGAAACCCATAGAAATTAAAAACATATATATTTTATGATTTTACTGTTTTATTAAAAGTACAAACAACTGAAATGTGAAGCTAAAGTAATGAACATAAATTATTTTCAACAAAACTGCAAACCTTGAATACATAACTTTTTCAAATACAGTTCATGCTAATATAGGATCTGCATGTGCCGCACATGGATCGTGCACATTTGATACATGAAATTTTTTGTTGTTTGTAATTTCTTCGTTGACATATGGTTGACATATACCAATCTCTTTCTTTTCTGGTATTGATTATTCAATTTTCTCTCTTCTATAAGTAAGAGATTTCTGAATCTCTTGCTTATTACTTTACTGAAGGAAGTTTGTTAGTACAAAAATTTAAATTTAATTAATTAAATTAAATAATAAAAGATAGTTGTTATATTTTAACGTTGAGACATGCTAAATATTGCCAGAATTGAAACATTTAAATCCATTCAATCGGAACCAAACCTTTGTTTCCTTTCAAGCTTCCTAAATTCAGATTCCCCAAATAAATCGATTTTTGAGCATCGTTCAAATAGTCATCAAACTCCCTTTTCGTACTGAATTCCAGCTCCTTTTTTATTGAAACATAAAGGAGGAACGTATTAACGTAAGAGCTTTTTGAGGAGCGTTTTACCCCCACTTTTGCTTCCTCCTTTTAAACCAGCGCAGCGTTTCGAGTCGTGATTTTTATAGTTTTTGTTATCACACAAATGAAATCAAGATTATTAAAATGCATTTTAAAATATTTTAAGAAGGATCATACTTGGGTCATACAGTAAATTTTTCAAGTTAAATTAATTATCAAACATAATAGGTAGGTGTATACATAATATTTTGTCTAGTAAATAAAAACTAACTAAAAATAAATGAAATTGGATAATAATTAAACAATTAAGAAGAACTACTAGCAGGTAAGTTAGAAATTTTTAGTTTCTTAAAGGTTAATATGAAATACATTCATGCATTTAGAAATAGAAGGCCCTCAGAAAGAAAAACCACTTTTACGTTTATTAAATATTTATTGACAGTACACTGTTATCTAGACGATTTATTAAACTGATCAAAATAATCATCAGTGGCTCTATTAGCGTACACAATTTTAGACAGATAATTTTTACGATTTTTTTGTTCTTCTGCTAATCGTTTATTTTCTTCAGCGATTCTTTTACACTCGTCCCTAAAAATGCAAAAATATAATTATTTATAACACTTGCATGAAAGCATATTTAACCACATTCAAGATACCGTATGATCGAAAAAAAAAACGTCCAGTTGGCCTGGAAATGCCGATCGATGACATTCCCCATATAATTTTGCATATAATATGACGAGTTTCATTTCAAAGCCATCGCTGACGCCGTTTATCTCGATCATATTGTATATTTAAAATATCTTCAAAAGCGTCAGTGAAGATTTCGACAGATGGTATCCAAAAAATGACGTTTGCATTAAAATGTCAGACAAAACTGTCACTGTCTAAAAAAAAAACTACAGGGTGAGTCTTGAATAAGTGCAATTAATTTTAGGGGTAGTATATTTTGACCCCAGAAACACGATTATGAAGTTTTTTCGCGAAAATTTGGATTTTCTTTTAGTTTTTAGTTAAAGACATAATGTCTTGATAATATGGCAACATAGGTAGTTGATTAAATTTACAAGAGAAAAAAACCAGAAAAGATTTAGTGGTTCTCAAAAATTTAAGCAAAAAACATTTTTTTAGTAAGATAACTCGGTTATTTTGGATTTATTTGAAAAACGGTAAAGAGAAAATATGTTTCTGTTATCGAGATCTACCAGCGCTGAAAATATTATTAGACTTATTTATGACTCACCCTGTATATTTAATAATTAGGAACCTATTTTTGTCAATCAATTAAATACTTGTTTTTTCTCTTTTTAAGATATGTATATATTAACTTTTTTTTATTTTTAACAGGCCTCAAAACAGTAACAAGTACTGGTATCGGCGTCTAACAAAAATATCAATTTAATAATAACATTTTAGTTGAAGTTTCTTAGCTTGGTATTATACCTCTAGCATCATACAGTATTTTGAGAATTAAGTAATAGTGTCGAAAAATGTATCAATCTCAAATTCGCCCTGTATTCAGGAACTAAGAGGGCTAAGACAAATTTATGTGTAGGCTATTTTGTAGTGATGGGATAACTCGAGCGAAAATTCGCTCGAGTACTCGATTATTGAAATAACCGACAATCGCTCGATTATGAACGAGCGATGCAAGTGACGAGTTACAAGCGACGAACGCAAGCGATCTTAGAATGGAATAAATTGAAATCCGATTTTAATGACATACTGATAATTTTAATGACATACTCGATAAAAAGCCGAGCGAATTTTCTGCATACATTGCAGGTAGCAAATTTATACGACGCCGTATATATATTTATATGTTGCGTATCTGAGGTTCTGAGGGACAACATTTTACGACCTACATCGACAATGCTTTGAAATGAACTAAATCAAACGATCAAGCGAATCGCTCGTCGCTTGGTACTTGCCATTATCAATGAAAGAATATTTGCCCTGCGTACGCAAGTTACTGCTTGGCGCTTGGCGTTAACGAGTACTTACAAAGCAAGCGACGCGATGCACGTTTGAAAACCCATATTTTTAAATACAAGTGATATTTCGCTCGAGCGATCACTCGGTTATTGCAATCGCTTGAAACTCGAGTACTCGATTATTGAAATTAATCGGTTTTTCCCATCACTACAATTTTCACAAAAAGTAGCAAAGTAATGTGAAAATCGCACCATTGTATCTCCTACTCAGAAACGAGAAATCCCATAAAATAAACGAAAATAGTACACTTTGTACAGATGTGATGCGCAGTAGTGAACGTAACGTCTACCGGCGCACAATGCTTCGCTTATGGACAACAATCAAAATTCTGCGTGCAAAAAGAATTTTTTTTGGTCCCATATTAGAGATAAATAATCAAAATTCACCAAACAGGATAACTTTTATTGTTAGGTTCCTCGATATCGTTACAAAACATTATGAAAAATGATAAAAATGTAGAAGAAATAAAATTGTCTTATCAATCGTTTACTGTGATTAAAACGAAATCGTACCAACAAGTGCCTTTTCATTAAAAAAAAAACTAAACCTGCCATGGAAGCTAACCAAGGTATGTATTATTTTTGTACAGGGACATCATTTTAAGTGTCTCACTCGATTTATAATTTTCCTGTTTGGTATTTAAAGATAGTAGAAAGATTTTCTAATGTAGCTTTTCGCGAGGATGCCGATTTTCTACATTAAAATTTTTTACAACGTCAATTTTGACAGATACGACGCCATCTTGATTTTTTTTAAATGGAAACCCCCACATATTTTAGCGTGGTCCGGTAGACATATTTTAGCTAATTTCAAAAATATATAGTTTAGTATACTTTGCTCTTACCGTTTTCGATATACAGTGGATTTAAAAATGAATTGTTCCAGAATCATTTTAAGTGTCTCACCCAATTTAAAATTTTCCTCTTTTCTATTTTAAGATAGTAAAAAGATATTTTAATGCAATTTTTCGCGAGGATGCCGATTTTCTACATTAAAATTTTTTACAACGTCAATTTTGACAGTTACGACGCCATCTTGATTTTTTTAAAATGGAAACCCCCACATATTTTAGCATGGTCCGGTAGACATATTTTAGCTAATTTCAAAAATATATAGTTTAGTATACTTTGCTCTTACCGTTTTCGATATACAGTGGATTTAAAAATGAATTGTTCCAGAATCATTTTAAGTGTCTCACCCAATTTAAAATTTTCCTTTTTTCTATTTTAAGATAGTAAAAAGATATTTTAATGTAATTTTTCGCGAGGATGCCGATTTTCTACATTAAAATTTTTTACAACGTCAATTTTGACAGATACGACGCCATCTTGATTTTTTTTAAATGGAAACCCCCACATATTTTAGCATGGTCCAGTAGACATATTTTAGCTAATTTCAAAAATATATAGTTTAGTATACTTTGCATTTACCGTTTTTTATATACAGGGGGTTGAAATCAAGAATTCCTCTAATTTTTATGTATTTGAATATGAATGCCATTCACTTACAACTGAGTGGCATTTGTATCCAAATGCATGAAATTTACGTAAATTTAGCTATCTTATGATAAATGACTAGCAGTTTAAAACTAAATTTTAATTTTTTTTTATATACAGGGTGGTCCCAACTGTATTCCGGAAACTTCGGCAGCATACTCTGCAGATAAAAATAAGTAAAAAAGTTCGTATAAATATATGTCCTACAATACTTAGTTTCGGAGATACAGGGTGTAGAAGTTTCATTTTTATTTCGATTTTTTCCAATTAATTTCTGAAGTAACGTCAATATTTGGCTGAAAATTCGTGTCTGGGAGTTTTTTGACATGAGAAACATGATTTTGATGTCAATATGACTCTTATTTGTAGGGGGCGCCACCTACATGTGTTTTAACTGTTCTGAAAAGTAATAACTTTTCGCCCATACCTGTATAAAACTAATGAGTAAAAAAAATATACATTTTCTGACTTTTTACGTAAAAATATCTCTCGGTAAATCGCTACGAGCAACCATTCTCAAGATATTTCGAATGGAAATAGTCAATACATGTCATTATTGACAAAAAAATAAACACGTTGAGTAGATAGATATTTGGCTGAAATAATAAATGTGGGAAATTTTAATTTTTTTAAATTAATTATAAATTTTTCTGCGGAAAAATGATCATAAAACAGTTTCTGTTGACCTTTTGGCAAAAAAACATTTCAAATTTATGATTTCAGACTAGTAACTATTTAGTCCACATGTTTAATATATGTCAATGATGACAGGTATTGATAATTTCGATTCCCAATATCTCGAGAACCCTTACTCGTAACAATTTTTACCAACAGACCTTTTTTACGTAAAAATCGTTATAAATGAACAATTTTTCACTCAGTAGTTTTATAGTACGTATACTCAGTAGTACGGACGAAAAGTTGTTACTCTTCAAAACATTTAAAACACGTGTATGTGGCGCCCCCTAGAAATTGGATTTATATTGACATCAAAATCAAATTTCTCATATCAAAAATCTCCCAGACACCAATTTTCATCACAGTATTTACGTTACTTCACAAATTATTTGGAAAAAATCGAAATAAAAAAGATACTTCTACACCCTGTATCTCCGAAACTAAGCATGTTAGGACATTTATACGAACTTTTTTACTTATTTTTATCTGCAAAATATGCTGCCAAAGTTTCCGGAATCACCCCGTATGTAAAGGTCATATTGAAGAAGAATCAAAGTATAAAAAAATAAAAAAAATTAAGCGTAGTAATTGTCAAATTTCACATTTTCAAGAATTTTAAAATTCGAAAATTGTAAACTGGATGAGTCACTTAAAATAATTCTAAAGATTTCATTTTTAAATCCACTGTATATCGAAAACGGTAAGTGCAAAGTATACTAAACTATATATTTTTGAAATTAGCTAAAATATATCTACCGGACCATGCTAAAATATGTGGGGGTTCCCATTTAAAAAAAATCAAGATGGCGTCGTATCTGTCAAAATTGATGATTTAAAAAATTTTAATGTAGAAAATCGGCATCCTCGCGAAAAATTACATTGAAATATCTTTTTACCATCTTAAAATAGAGAAGAGGAAAATTTTAAATTGGGTGAGACACTTAAAATGATTCTGGAACAATTCTTTTAAATCCACTGTATATCGAAAACGGTAAGTGCAAAGTATACTAAACTATATATTTTGAAATTAGCTAAAATATGTCTACCGGACCATGCTAAAATATGTGGGGGGTTTCCATTTAAAAAAATCAAGATGGCGTCGTATCTGTCAAAATTGATGATTTAAAAAAATTTAATGTAGAAAATCGGCATCCTCGCGAAAAATTACATTGAAATATCTTTTTACCATCTTAAAATAGAGAAGAGGAAAATTTTAAATTGGGTGAGACACTTAAAATGATTCTGGAACAATTCATTTTTAAATCCACTGTATATCGAAAACGGTAAGTGCAAAGTATACTAAACTATATATTTTTGAAATTAGCTAAAATATGTCTACCGGACCATGCTAAAATATGTGGGAGTTTCCATTTAAAAAAAATCAAGATGGCGTCGTATCTGTCAAAATTGATGATTTAAAAAATTTTAATGTAGAAAATCGGCATCCTCGCGAAAAATTACATTGAAATATCTTTTTACCATCTTAAAATAGAGAAGAGGAAAATTTTAAATTGGGTGAGACACTTAAAATGATTCTGGAACAATTCATTTTTAAATCCACTGTATATCGAAAACGGTAAGTGCAAAGTATATTAAACTATATATTTTTGAAATTAGCTAAAATATGTCTACCGGACCATGCTAAAATATGTGGGAGTTTCCATTTAAAAAAAAAACAAGATGGCGTCGTATCTGTCAAAATTGATGATTTAAAAAATTTTAATGTAGAAAATCGGCATCCTCGCGAAAAATTACATTGAAATATCTTTTTACCATCTTAAAATAGAGAAGAAGAAAATTTTAAATTGGGTGAGACACTTAAAATGATTCTGGAACAATTCATTTTTAAATCCACTGTATATCGAAAACGGTAAGTGCAAAGTATACTAAACTATATATTTTTGAAATTAGCTAAAATATGTCTACCGGACCATGCTAAAATATGTGGGGGTTTCCATTTAAAAAAAATCAAAATGGCGTCGTATCTGTCAAAATTGACGTTTTAAAAAATTTTGGTGTAGAGAATCGGCATCCTCGCAAAAAATTACATTAGGAAATCTTTCTACTATCTTTAAATACCAAACAGGAAAATTATAAATCGAGCGAGACACTTAAAATGATGTCCCTGTACATTATGAAATATACAATTTTATTTTTGGGTACGAAGTTATACGGCAGTAAAAAATGACTGAAAATAATCTAGTCTTTTGTTGTAATTAACTTTGATTAAACTTTTATTGAGTTCTATGCCAAACATCTTGTACTTTCAGTTTTATTAAATAATGTGGACCTTGGGCTACTGAAATTGTATAGGTTTTTTGCAACTACTGGCAACTTATGCTAGTATGATTTTTTTTCTGTCTGTATGTTTGTGTCACGAGAGCTCCGAAACCGCTGGAGGTATTGTGATGAAATTTTCTGGAAGAGTACTGTTGGGGTTTCTAAGAAGCCGAATGAAGTTTTGTTAAAATTCATCAACTTTAAGGATTTTTTTTACAGTTAAAATTTCAAAAAGTATGTAACATTTGAACAAAAAATCGCTCAATATGCGGTTTTTAGATTATAATAACACGCATTTGTTTCAACCATTTAAGTATGTTATAGCAAAAAAAATTAGGAGTTTTTGTTCTCACAAAAACCTGTTTTTGACAGATTCAAATTATATTGCGCTCTGCTAGCATACTAGGGAGGGGTGTCATGGATCCATTTATTTTAGATGCTGACCACACCATAAAAAATATTAACCTATTAGAAGAGTGGATTGCAAGTGGTAAAGGTGACCGAAAAAATAAAATTTCATTGAAAATCGAATCACTGCTGAACGTCGGTCAATATTCTGATGAGGCCCTTGTTAAACTTTGTTATAGTTTACGAATGCACATACTGTAATTTACATTTTATACAATAAAGTTTTCTGATTTTTTTGTTAGTGTGTGAAACAGAAAGGTTTTGTTAAAGTTTATTATAGTTTCCGAATGTATTATTTTTGTTTATATTTTTAGAGCAAAGAATTTTGTGATTTGTGATTGGTTTCTGAGACAGAATATAATTTTTCTTAAAGTTTATTTAGTTTTCGTTCACGATTGAGTTCATTTAATTTATTATTTACAATCAAGATTTTTTCTTAATTAAACATGATTTTAAAAACCCGTTTTTATGCTTTATTTCATTTTTGTCCGCAAACCCTATCCTTCAAAGCACTGTGTGGCGGCCAGAAAGCCCGCACGCTTTTCAAGAGAGCATTGCAAGAGATATATTCAAGAAGCAGCTTGCTTAAAGTTTTTTCTCGAAAGCTTTGCTAGCTCTTAGACTATTATGTCAGAATATATTCCTGCTACTCTCGCTCCAAATATCTTATTTCTAATTTAATGATACTTGTAACGAAAATCGCAAAATATACCTTTGTTTCCTTTCAATTTCCAAATCCATCAAATAAATCGACTTCTGAGTACCATTCAAATAATCTTCATACTCCCTTTGCATCCTCAATTCCAAGTCCTTCTTTTTCTGAAACATAATAGAGCGACACATTGATTAGAAAAATTTTCAGCTAGCATTGTGCCAAGAACTTATTACTTTTACTTCCTCCATTTGGGCAAGTTGTTCGCGCCTGATATTCGCTTTCTCTTCGTCGCTCATGCCTTTGTAGAGGTAGGCGATCCTTTTACCAGGGCCCATGTTGCTCTGCGATACGTCGGGGTTTTCTGTTAGGAGGTCGCTGGTAAGAAAGTTGTATATTTCGGCGGCGTTGTCTTCGAGAGCTTGCTGGTATTTTTTGCTATCCTGTTTGCATTTTTCTTCGGCCTAGTAAGAGAAAAGAAAAACTTTGTTGTGAATTCAAAAAAAGTGTGAATTAATCGATCGAACAAAAAAGTTATATCATTTAATAAAATATATCTTCAACTTTAGGTCAAAAATAGTATTTTGTAGGCTATACAGTATGTCCCGGGATTGTCTTTACAAGAGGCAAAAATTTTTTATGATCGATTTTGAGTAATTTTTAAATTAACTGAATAGGTAACAAACAAACACCAGTCAAAAACCGACATACCTTAAGTTGTCAACATCATTGTTAAGTCGTCAACATCACTTTTTCAAACGTTAGTTAATTTTAATAAAATTTTAATATTCAGTACTAGTAATAATTTATTGTTATACACATAAAGAAAAAGTGAGCATGATAAAATGGTACTACGCGGGAAATAGCTTAGACAGTGTATCTGACGTGTTTCGGTTTTTCTCCCGAATATTAAATTAAAATTAAATTACTTTTGACAATGATAAAATCATGGTTTGTTAGGTATGTCAGATTTTGACTGGTGTTTGATTGTTATCTGGTCGGTTTTAATTTAAAAATAGATGCAATCTTTTTTAAATTACTCAAAAACGGCTGGTCCAAAATGATTCAAATTTGGCATGTGTACTTACCATACATAAACATTTAAAAAAAATATTTATGACTTTGCTGGAAAATCAATAGGTGAGCCAATATTTGGGCAATTCAAAATTTGCATAGGATTTCTTGTTTCCAACCATTTTCCAACGACGATGCACCACCCGGTACCTAATAATCCGGCTTTTTGCACAAAAACTAGGTATATTATAAAACGCCGGCTTTTTACACAAAAGAACTAATTTTTATAAAAAGCCTATCTATTTTCAGTCTCTTTGCAAAAATCCTAATTAGAATTAGGCATATTGAACAATGATGATATTTTCTGTACACTTCTGCAAAAAGACTGCGTGGTTTCAGTTGTTTTACACAATGCTAAATCGAGAATCGAGGCTAAGCAGATTAAAAAATGATGAAAATTTAGTCAACTATGAACCTAAGCTAAGCATATTGAATAATTTACGCTTTATTCAAAATACCCCTATTTTCCTATACAAAAACAATAATTATGTCAAAATGTTATTATATTTAGACGAAAACAATCCTATTTTATAAATTTTAATTATAAATACCATAATTTTAAATACAAAATACATTAAAACCTCAATATTAATATTGCCAATTAATTGAAAAACACAGGAGACTATAATTATTATACTCTCTGTAATTCGCTCTGTGTACAGGACTGCTTCTTTGTAGAACTTTCTTTTCTTTTAGAATAAAATGACTTTAGATCTTTATAATAATCATCCTCAATCATAATCTATTTAACAGAATGATCACTTTTTGTGCCATTATTACCAAATTTTTAAAGAGAAGTCCAAGAAATGTCATTAAAGAGAAGTCCAAGAAATGTTTTGTGCAATCTGACTAGTCTTCATTAGGCATTTTGCAAAGCGACTGAAAACAGGTAGGCTCTTTGTAAAATATCCTTCTTTTGTTAAAAACGCCGGCGATTTATAATGTCTGGTCTTTTTGTAAAATGCCGAGTTATTCGATACGCCTGTGATATACCGGGTGCGTCTCAAAAGTGGCTCACCCCTATAACTTTTTTATTTTCTCAAATTAAAAATTGAGATTTTGTATGTTAATATATGACATAAATTAGGATTGATTGACGTATTCAATTGTTTTCTGTCACTTCCTGTTTCACCGAAAATGACTACAACTTTTGATTTTTAAATGGTACCCTCGGTTTTTTGTTGCTTTATTCGATAGAAAATGATACTCTGAATAGAATGACATAGCATATGTCAACCTTGACATTTTCGAATATGGTTTATTAGAAATTGCAACATGCGATGCATAACGACAATTGGACTCGAAATACCAAGTGTGTGGTACCAAATTATTCGTAAAAAAATACTTTTTCCAAATATGCTAATGAGCCCCTCTCGTTCCATTTGAAAAAATTGAGATATGATTAAAAATACGATTTGGGCATCTTTTAACCAGCCAGGACAAGACACGAATAACATTAGACGATCAAATCTATTTTTCCTTGATTAAAAATTAGTGTTTTTAACACAGCCATGGCACTCTAGATTGAAAATTAAAATTCAATTTTGTTTTAAGCAAAAATGTCAAAAGTTGACATATGATATGTCATTCTGTTCAGAATGACATTTTCTATCGAATGAAGTAAAGAATACCGAGGGTGCCATTTATAAATCAAAACTTGTTGTCATTTCCTGTGAAACCGGAAGTGACCAAAATACAATTGAATACGTCAATCAATCCCAATTTATGTCATATACTAACATACCATACAAACTAACATACTAACATACAAATATCGTTGTGTTATCTGAAAAAATAAAAAAGTTCTAGTGGCTCACCCCACTTTTGAGACGCACCCGGTATACATACATCTTAAATAAGTGCAAATATTTTTAGGAGTAGTATATTATTTCGATTCCAGAAACACTATTATGAGGTTTTTTCGCGAAAAAAAATTGAAAACTTCGAATTTTTTAAGAAACTTTTTGGATTTTTTTTACTTTTTTGTTAAAAAACATAGGAAGAAACCTAGTGGTTCTCAAAATTTAAGCAAAAAATCATTTTTTTAGGAATTTTCAAAGTAAAATAACTCGGTTATTTTGGATTTATTTGAAAAACAGTAAAGAGAAAATATATTTCTTTTAGAGAGATCTACCAGCCCTGCCAGTTGGCCTTAAAAAAGTTGGAATTTATTTTTATATTGAGTAAAAATGATTTTTAAATGGAGTAGTTTAAACTTCGAGGAAAAATTATATTTATATTGTCTATTATTGACAAAATACCATTATATCTCGCACAAGATTCTAAATTACTTTTAATAAATGACTGTTGCGAAAAATCCTGCATTGTTACAAATTGAAACATATTGAGTGCAATTTGTAATATATTAATTTGTCGAAATTGGAATTATTTTCATCGACAGAAATAAATCTAACAACTTCAATTACTGCCAATATTACTTCCTAACACAATTATTATACTTACTAGAGCGAGATTGTATTTCGTACACGCCTCCTCTAGTCTTCTTCTGCAAGTTCTCTCCATGTTGTCCAACTCGATGGCTCGCTGATCTCTCGCAATTACGGCAGCTGAGGTGGAAAAAATTAAATAACAAAACAAAAAGAAAATGTCGACAGTAGCTACCTTTGTAAGCGTCTTCGGCCATCTTTCTTTCCTTTTCCGCTTGTTCCTTTTCCAACATTTGCTGATGGAGCCAAGCGTTAATCTGCTCTTTCTGCACTCTTGATCTTTCTTCGTTTATTAAATCTTCTCCTTCGAATCTGTTAGAAGAAGTTAGATGAAACGAACGATCTACTATTAGATTGATTTTTGAAGTATTAGTCGTGTAGGGCATATTTCGAAATGTTTTGTACATATTATACCGCAGTATATTTCAGTTGATTTTAAAAATTCCGATTGCAGCGCTTGATACTGCAGAAATTAGAAGTTTTTGCTCTGTATTTCACGCAGTTCCGATATTGATGGCATTGAAATGATATTAAAATCGTGGATTTGTCATAATACCGTATGATGAAAACGCCGTTTTTTTTCGATCATATTGTATTTAAGTATTTTAGTTTTTAATAGTACATTTATTTCAGATTTTGAAAGAACTCGGTCTACTGAATGATGATATGCCATACTTTATACTTTTTTTTTGTTTTGGGTACCTTAACAACAACAAAAACTATTTAATTATTATTTAAAATACTTTCAAGTCCGACTCTGGTTTTTAAACTATTTAATCTGATTATATTCATCGCAACAATACTGATCAGCGCTAATTAAGATTGCATAAAGAAAATCGGGCCAATTGGAAAATTCAAATAAATAATATCCAGGTCAGCAATTTAAAGATATTATTTCAGTGTGCGATCTAATAATATGTATAATATTAATCGTAGTTATAAATAAATTAACTTTTACAAACTACTTTCTAATGCTCTATATCTTCGAAAGGGTTACCACCCTCCCTATTGCACAAATTTATTTTTCGTTCAATTTGATTTATAGCTCTTTGAACTTTTTTCTTATACTTCCGAATGCATTTTGTACTCTTTATTGTAAATGTTGAGATGTATTGATTTTACTTTTATAAATGACGTCAAGTAATGTCCCCTTTGCCCCTTGGCGACGGATCCAGGAACCTCGCTGGCCATTATACTGCTCTACCATTTACAATCCATCTTCCGAGGAAATTATTTGGTTGTTTATATTATAATTTGATATTTATATAATTTATTTTATATTAATTATTAAAGGTGCCCGGTGGCGTAGAGGTACAGGCTCTCGTCTACCAATTTCAAGCTATTGGGTTCGAATCCCACACCCGACATTTCATCAGCCGACTATTTTTATTAAAATAAAAATAGTTTGCGTAGAGGTACAGGCTCTCGTTTACCAATTTCAAGCTAGTGGGTTCGAATCCCACACCCGACATTACATCAGCCGACTATTTTTATTAAAATAAAAATAGTTTGGGTACCTAGGTCGACTCAGCCTCAAATGAGTATTTGGGATTCACAATCCTGAGGTAATAATAGGCGGTTGAAGCGTAGAGTGCTAGCCACATTACCTTACTTGTATACCGAACGGCTCTCGCTGTACCTTGCTACTCCCAAGGCGTTAAACGCTATATACGGGAGCTATTATTATTATTATTATTATATTTTATATTATTTTATTGCATTTGATTTCCCGTATTCAATGTTTTACGTCACGTCATTGTTAAGTTTGGAAAGCTTATATATCAATATTGTAACTATTAATAGATTAAATATTAAAATAAACAGAGCCGGATTTGAAATTAGTTTAAATAAATTGTGTTTAAATGCCCGAAACAAAAAAATATATTATGTGTGGCATGTTATTGTCCTTAGGAGACCGAGTTTTTGAAGCCTGAAATAAAAAATGCAGGTCCGTATTTAAGAAAATTAAATTGGCCTCTGTATCTCACAAATTATCAGCTAATTTGAAAATATAAAAATACTATCAGGTAGCCTTCAAAAGGGGGTATGACAATGTGCAATTAGTTTTTGGATTTTCTAAAAAGCAACGACAGGAAAAAATAAAATTAATTTTCAAAAAAAATCCGTTTTTATCCAAAAAACAGAGCAATCCTTGAAATTTTTAAAACTTTTTTGATGGCATTTTGGTGAACATCCCAAGATTTTGTCCCAATTTAGCCATGTTCGTATCTATTACGGATACCGAGACACCAATGCTCGTACCCCGAATTTGTAGCACTCTGTATATGCCGGTTGTTTACAATATTCTCTGATGGTGGCAGCACAAAAATAAGTATCGCTTAAATATATATTTAGAAACATAGATTGTTGCATTATTATTAAAAATATCTATAGAGATTAAACTCTAAAACGTATTGTATATGTTTATGACTTACTTTTGAGCTGAAGACGGCCCCAAACGCGGATCTTCATCGTACATTCTAGCAGGGATTTGTTTCTTCTTCCCATTTGGATCGTTTAAGTCGAATTCGCGTCTATCTTCGGGCTTTTGAAATTGATGACGATACTTGTTTATTTCTTGTTGGAGTTTTCTGCGTTCCTGTAATGTTTGTTTTGAAATCAAATAAAAATAATCGGAATCCGTAGCAATCTTGACTTACATCTTGTTCTTTCTGAGCCAGAGCTATAGCTACTTCATCGGCTCTTCTTAGATTCTCCTCGAAAATCTCCTCTACTCTCTTTACTTCATCTTCTCTCCGTTTCTTCTCTTCAATTTGAGATTTGAGCACATGAGTGTCGATCTGCGTACATACATATTTTGTTATAATAATATTACTAAACATAAAATGCTCTCACACTTATTAAGAAAGTTGACTAGACTTGACATTCGGAGACTAAACTAGAAATGTAAAATGTAAGAAGACAATAATGTAGAGAATGATTTTTGAATTTTCGTTTTGCGTGAACTTAAGGTGCATCAAAGTTCGACACTCAGCTGACCACTAGTGAGTGCACGTGTGCTTCATAGTTCTGTCAAATACTACAGGTGGCGTCGAAGCAACTTTGAGAATAGTGTAGTGGTTGTTTAAGGCTATGATCATACCGAAGATGCATCACTGTTACCTCTTTATAAGAGGTAACAAAATACGGAATAAGGAAAATAAAATGAATTACAGGGTGTTTAGGTACTGTATTCTGGAAACTTCGGCAGCATATTCTGAAGATAAACATAAGTAAAAATAGTTCGTATAAATATATGTCCTAAAATGCTTTTTTTCGGAGATACAAGTTGTAAAAGTTTCATTTATTTCGATTTTTTCCAAATAATTTCGGAAGTAACGTCAATATTTCGATGAAAATTGGTGTCTGTGAGTTTTTTGATATGAGAAATGTCAATGTGGCTCCTATTTGTAGGGGGCACCACCTACACGTGTTTTAACTGTTTTGACGGGTAATAACTTTTCGTCTGTACCTGTATAAAAATACTGAGCGAAAAAAATATATATTTCCGTGATTTTTTTTACGTAAAAATGTTTCTTGTTAAAAATCGCTACAAGCAACCGTTCTCAAGATATGTAGAATGGAAATAGTCAATACATGTCATTATTGACAAAAAATAAACATGTGTTGAGTAGATAGTTATTTGACCTGAAATGATAGATTTGGGAATTTTTTTTTAATTAATAATACATTTTTCTTCGAAAAAATGATGATAAAACAGTTTCTCTTGAATCTTTGCCATAAAAACATTTCAAATTTAGCATTTCAGTCTAATAACTATTTGTCAACATGTTTAATTTATGTCAATGATGACAGGTATTGATAATTTCGATTTCAAATATCTCGAGAACCTCTATTAACCTCTACTTTTTACTACTTTACTATTAACCTTTATTTTTATACAGGTACGGACGAAAATTTATTACTCTTCAAACCAATTAAAAAATATGTAGGTGGCGCCCTCTACAAGTATGAGTCATATTGACATCAAAATCAAATTTTTCATGTCAAAAAACTTTCAGACACCCATTTTCATCCAAATATTGACGTTACTTCAGAAATTATTTGGAAAAAATCGAAATAAAAATGAAACTTCTACACCCGGTATCTCTGAAACTAAGCATTTTAAGATTTTTTTTATAGGAACTTTTTTACTTATTTTTATCTGCAGAATATGCTCCCAAAATTTTCGAAATACAGTTTAGACCACCCTGTAGATTTGTGCGTCTGGAAACGTTCTATTCTTTTTTGATCTTACTGTAATTAGCTTTGAATAAGAAGACTAAGGAAGGAGTATAATGCTTATCCATGTATTCATGCATTGTGGGCGGAAAAAGGACTCTAGGGTGGGGATCCTTGACAGTTCTGTTTGACGATTCATTTGACACATTTGAAATTTTGTGGATTTGTCAGTCTTTACGGAGCTTATTTTATGTTATTTATTATTTATTCTACTACTGATAGTTGTATAAAGGTAGTAAATCTAGATCGAAATTGTGGCAGAACTTAAATTTACTGTGACACTATCGCGATTTATCGAAAAAGAAATAGTTGGTTGTGTAGCGTGCGGTAGATCTCGGCAAAAATTGTGAGTGAAATAATGGAACAACTTTTCGCTAGTAAGTGACTATATAATATACATACGTGTAGTAAACCGATCATTTATGAAATTCACTTAAATTAACTAATTATATATTTTTTCTTGCATTTTTGCTTTTATTTACTACTTGTCAAAGATTAGATGTCAAAGAATTTAGATACGTCAATTTGACTTACCTGCTTCAGGTAATAATAAATAATTATTATAACTTATCTATTTTTATTAGAATTTTATATTTTTTATAACAATTTTAATAACTACCAATATTTATTCACAACGTAAAATAAAAAAAGAATTATTGTGTCTACCCCACGTCTATCCTACATCATAGTTTTACATTTTTTAAATAAAATTAGAACGGCACTGATAAACCGGAATTTAAGTCGGCCATATTTGGGGCCCATCGCGGTGGACCTAAGATTTTTGATATCCTTAAGCTTGATTTTCATGCATTCGTTATCCGACGATACGATGATACGATATTAATTTTATTAGTTGAATTTAAAGACTTTGTTGGTTGGTTAGAAACGGTTAACCAATCGAAGCCTTTAAATTCAACCAATAAAATTAATATCGTATCAACGTATCGTCGGACAACGGATGCATGAAAATCAAGCTTTAGTCTTCTTATTCAAAGGTAATTAGTGACTACAATTTTTGACAAGTTATGTTACTAAGTCTAAAGGATGACCTCGCCAAAATTTTCGTCGATAATTATTCCTCAGCCGTATTTGACGCCGTTTTTTTTCGATCTTACTGTACTAGATTAACGCCACTCAAGATAAAAGGTTAGTACAAAAAATTCAATATTTCGTATGTATATATTTTAAGCTTTTAGGTCTTACTTCATTCGCTGTCATAGCAGTTATTATTAATTATTAATTTGATGTTTAATGAAATATCTACTAGTTTCACAGAACTTGAACGGTTTTAGCATAGACGTGTCTATGCTAAAAGAACATTGAAGCATCTTTGGTATGATCGTTGTAAACAGGTGAATAACAAAATTACCCCAATAAGTCTCGATCTAGGGTCAAAAATCCTTTTTCTTCTTTCCTCTTCCTGGATCCGCCTTCTTTCGATATAAGCAGCCTCTTTGCGATCTTTTTCAGTCATAAGCTCAAATTGCAACATTGTAATAGATATTTTTAATGAAAAGGTTTAATAAATACTTATATTTTTGTTCAAGCAACCTGACAACTAAAAGTCAACAGAATGAAGTTGTTTTTAGAGTTGCTATGGAAATACATTTGAAATCGATAACATGAGCCGTTTGTGTTTCAATGCACAGGTAAATTTTATCTTTAAAAAAAGAATTTAAAATTGTATTTTGTGTAATTTTTTGAATGTCGTCTGTCTAAACCTTCCCTGATTTGTTGGATAGAATATAGGTAAGTGGTTTTTAATGTTTAGTTTATCAGAAATCTTTCCCCAAAAACAGTATCTTGATATTTAACTACTTTACTTTGAATATGGTAGATAATGATTCAGTATTAAAACTAACGGTTACTGAGCTTGTCTAGCTTGTTAAGCTCAGTGGTTTTGGGATCTAGTTTAGATCACACTTGATAACTGTCACTGACCGAAACGTTGTGTAAGCAAAATAAATAAACACAATAGAAGTCCGAAATTCTAGTTTTAATTTAATTATTTGTTTTAGGGATGTAATTTATGGAAGATTACTAAAAAAAAGAGACGCCTAAATGTTTCCAAAAATATATTTAAGAAACATGTGTAAATCTGCTGTTACAACTAAATAAAAAGAGTAAGGAAGGAGTTTATGGTTATTTTGATACTCACTAATTAATTTCTTTTTTTTAATATTTAATTTTACGAGAGAAAACCTCCCAAGAGAGATGGCACATATTTTTTGAAACACTCTGTATACTTACACGGATGGCTAAGTAACTATTGACATATGTCAACGACTTACATTTATCTTCTTGCACACGCGGTGTTTCAACTCTACCATATCTTTGTCGAGGAACTATACCGGGTGTGTCTCAAAAGTGGCTCACCCCTATAACTTTTTTATTTTTTTAGATAAAAAAAACGAGATTTGGTATGTTAGCATATGACATAAATTAGGATAGATTGGTGTATTCAATTGTTTTTGGTCATTTCCTGTTTCACCGGAAATGACTACAACTTTTGATTTTTAATGGCACCCTCGGTATTTTTTTACTTTATTCGATAGAAAATGACATTCTGAATAGAATGACATATCATATATCAACTTTTGACATTTTCGCTTAATAAAAGATAGTATTTTAAAATTCAATCTAGAATGCCATGGCTATGTTAAAAACACTAATTCTTCATCAAGGAGCCTTGGAAAAATAGATTTGGTCGTCTAATGTTTTTAGTGTCTTGTTCTGGCCAGTTAGAAAATCGTATTTTTAATCATATCTCAATTTTTTCAAATGGAACGAGGGTGGCTCATTAGCACATTTGGAAAAAGCATTTTTTTTACGAATAATTTTTAATACCACACACATAGTATTTCGAGTCAAATTTTCGTTACTAACCGCAAGTTATAATTTCAAATACCATATGCGAAAATGTCAAAAGTTGACATATGATATGTCATTCTATTCAGAGTGACATTTTCTATCGAATAAAGTAAAAAATACCGGGGGTGTCATTTAAAAATCAAAAGTTGTAGTCATTTCCGGTGAAACCAGAAGTGACCGAAAACGATTGAATACGTCAATCCATCCTAATTTATATCATATACTAACATACCAAATCTCGTTTTTTTAACTAAGAAAATAGGGGTGAGCTACTTTTGAGACCCGGTATATCTTCCACACGCCAAATTTGAATATTCAATTTAAAAATTCATATTTCTAAAATGCATATATTTGAACATGAAATTGAATACTTACCTGACAAAAGAAAATTAGAACTGTATAAAACATACATTTTGCCACCTCGAACGAACGAATATCAGTATTCTTAAGAAATCGTTGAATATTAATAAAAGTACAACTGAATAATTTACTTGCTTATGAAAAGATAATTCGGGGTTCTTTATATTAGAACTTCCACACACCAAATGCTTTCTAAAGTTTTAAAAATATCTAGTCTTAAAAATAAGTTGCTTCAGTAGCGTATCTTCCTTGATCTTTTATTCAACTTAACAACAAACTTAACAACAGAACAAAAATATACCTTACTGCTGAGAGACGAAAAGATGAAAGTTATGTATAGGTGTTAAAGTTTCATAGAAATGTATTGAAATCGATAGACGTTTGCAAGAGCACAAAAGCGGTCAAACTGCCAAACGCCAAAGTAACAAATATAACTTTGCATGGCATGAAAGGAGATATTATGTAAATATTTTGGGAATGGGCGAAGTTTGACATGTTATTGATTGTTATTTAGAATTTCAATCAAACCAAACCAACCGTTGTAGTAGAATTATTTTTCTTGAAAGAAAATTTTCTTTGTATTATATTGATACATAAGAGCATTCCAAGGACAGTTGACATCAATTTCTACTATAGAACTTGATTATATTATCCTTTTTTTATATTTACTATTATCTATGGCAACGACTTTTACCAATTTATAGATGTATAAAATACTGACCATATATACTACGCAATAGCATTTAGAAAAATTACATATAGTAGTTACATAGTCCTTAAATGATTTTCAATCATAAAATATAACATTAATATTAACAGAAAAAATAAACAGAACGATATATATAATATCAAATTTATCTTGATTTATGTCGATGACAAAATGTTATCTATAGCTTAGTTCGGTTTTTTATTACTGATTTTGAATCGTCCGTCCTGGAACTGTGATACGCATGCGCCAAAGACATGCGCAGATGGAAATAGAGCAATTTTTTATCATCTGCGCATGCGCGTATAATTATAGGACGGTTATTATAGAAAGCTCATGAAAGAAAACGCCTTACGTGATGGCACGTTAAACGTTTATGGAGAACCGGTGATAGTTTTTTTTGAAAATTTGGATTTTTTCATAAAGGCACCTGCTCCATCTTTCTAAAAAAAATCAGCGTTACAGTGTTGTAGCATCGTTCGAAAAGTGGTAGCATCTTTCTTATTTTAAATGGAAGACCCAGCATATTACTACATTTTTGGAAACTAATTTCATATCTTATAATTTTTCTATTATACTAACCTATACCTATCTCTAGTTTTTAAGATAAAAAATAAATCATGTGTAAAATTGACAAAAACATGATCGTGAATAAGCATTGGTAAAATTATGAATTAAACATTTAAAGTTGAAATTTGGGTTATAAGTTAACGAAAGTCGATATATTCGATCGGTCTAAATAAACCAATTGGATATTACACAGAGAGAGCAAAACTATTATTTGTTTCCGTTTGTAATAAATTCAAGTATTTAGTTAATATTGAAGGTGTTTAAAAAATAAAACTACATTATAAGCTTGGTATACAGTTGGTATATTTATTATTTGGACAAGAAATACCATACATAGTTAGTTGTACATATATTCCAGTAAAATTATTGCATTTTGACACTTACCTTTATAGACGAGAGCAACTTACACCAGTTTTCTTTCAATTTGTCTTAGAAAATCTTCCTACAATTGCTTTATAGATAAGTCTTACGTTACTACCCTTAAAGATTTAGAACAAACGCTTTTTTGAGAATTATTCTTCAATATACAAAAAAATAAGAAAAATATATTACAGTATTTAATTAAACTTTTACAACCATATAGTTTGTCGAAAATAGAGTTAACATATAACAGAATCTACTAAATAATAAAAATAGCAATTAAAATTTAATTATATTTTAGACAAACTAGATGTAACAAAATATATACATATTCATATAGAGGTATCTTAATAATATATTGAAGCTTTCAGTCATTATTATTAGCTTTTTTATTAAAGTGCTATATGATCGAAAAAATTGCCTTGGCTTGGAAATGACGATCGATGTCATTCCTCATATAATATGACAGCGATTTTCATTTCATAGCAATCGCTGACGCCGTTTTTTTAGATCATATTGTACAAGTACAGTGTATAATAAATTCTTTACAAGGATTGTAATCACATTACTTCAAGATATATAATAAATTTAATTTTATATAAAGTGCAGGTTTTGAAAATAACGTCATTCAATTTATGTAATGAGTTTTTAATATTATTGATGATTATTAATTTTTTAGTAACTATAAGATTACTATAAGACTTATTATTACTAAAAACTTTAATATTCTAATAAATGAAAACCATGATCATATCTTAGTCTTGATAGGTCTAAGTTCAATTTGATTGCTTCAAAGGGATAATTTATTTAAAAAAAATAGTTTTATTTAGAATTTAGATGTAATTTTAGATATTTTATACATATAGCAAAATACTTTGGACTTAATTTTGCTACAAAAACAAAATAATTCTTATGCCTAAATAAAAGCAAAAATAGTTTTATAATAGAAACAGTGACATAAAAATTAATTTATAAAATCTTATTATAAGGCTTAAAAAAATTAATGAGCAATTATTACCATCGAAACCTTTTCAATCTGACACAAAAACAATTTTTATTTTGCTCTCCGCGCTCTCCATATTCCCCAATATCTGCGTCATCCAATTACACACTAATCAAGAGGGAATTGTTGGAAATAAGCAACACATAATATATACAATATATAGGGTGATTCACGGTGATGGTACGTTAGGTGGGCGTTTATGAGAACCATATGGTGATATCATTTTTGAAAATTTGAATTTTTACATGATTGCATCTGCTCTATCTATCTAAAATATTATCTGCATTACTGTGTTATCGCATCGTTTGCAAAAAGTGGTAGCATCTTTGTTGTTTTAAATGGGACACCCCATATATTATTACATTTTTGAAAACTACTTTGATATCTCATAATTTTTCTATTGCACTAGCTTTTATCTCTTATAAATTTCGATAAAAAATAAAATATGTGTAAAATCGACAAAAAAAATCATCTTGAATAAGCACTGGTAAAATCATGAATTGCAAATTTTTAAAAGTGAAATTTGGGTTGTATATTAACGAAAAAGTTTATATATTCGATCTGTCTAAATCAACCGATTGGATATTACACAGGGAGAGCCAAAAATGTATTTATTTCCGTTTTATAACAAACGGATTTTTTTTTGATCTCCCTTTCCTTCACCCATAAACCAAATTTCTGCTTACAACATTCCGAATTTATGATTTAAC